CGTTATTCTGCTGAAAAATTGCATTAGGTAGTCCCTGAAGGTAGGGAATTGCCACCGGCCGCAGTCCATTGTCCAAGTATCGTTGGGCCGTCATAGTGCACTGAATACGAACTAGAGGTGACCTGGAATCGTAAGCAATAGCGCCCCAAACCATTATGCCACGCTTTCGTGCGGTGGAGCGTTCCACAGTTACCGCCGGATTAGATCTGTCTCCACGTCGACGCCACACACGTAAGCGGCGACTATCACTGGATAAACAGAAGCGTGACTCATATGAGAACAAGACGTTTCGCCATTCTGTCATCCACATCGCTCCAGTCCGGCACCATTCTAAACGTTGGGGTTTATGTTGTGGGGTCAATGGCAGTCTTCTTAACGGACACCGTGAGTGCAGGCCACGTTCAACTAATCCACGGGAAATGGTTCTGGTCGACACGGGAACATCCAGGGTATTTTGCACATGCTGCAGAATCGCGGTACAAGTGACTTGCGGGGCCGCCACAGCTTGTCGGCGGATGCGTCGATCCACGCGTGCTGACGTCACTCTGGCTGCACCTGCACCCCTCCTTCTTCCCACATTTCCTTGTTCCAACCATGTTCGCCATAGCCGATGCACCGTGCTCGCATCCATGTGGGTATCAGCTGCGATTTGACGTAAGGACCAACTCGACCTTCTCAGTCCGATCTCCATACCACTCGACTAATCCTATTAATATTTGTCTGTATCTGTTGTTATACTGTATATATTTATAATAATGAACTTCAGTTGTCATAGAGACGATGTGACAATGTAATAGTAATAGCCTGTATCTGTTGCTATAACTGTATATGTTTATAATCAAGGTACAGTATTATTCACTCCCCTACGCTGATCTAATTAGTGTTGTAAATATGAATGTTGTAATATCATAATCATTGTCCACTTTCCTCTGTCTGTGTTAATTACCGCTAGATATTTGCAATGCAGTAATGTATGTCCTAATGCGCAGATATATATGGCGCAGCTTTTATGTGAATCTATCATACCATACACGAATATGTCATTGGTCATTGTCTTATGTATATCTACAGGCCAACTGTACCTTAACCCATAATTTATATGTATTACCGATAAGTATTGTATGTAGTGCACTCCTTAATACCAATGTCAAATATGTATGTAACCTCCCATTATTCTAATAGGACGTGGTGGACGTGGCGCTGTACCAATTAACCCAATGGTAAAGGGATGGTGCTCACGTCCCCCGTCGCATATCGCATATCCATACTACTCGTAAAATCGTCTATCTGCTGGAAGTGCCCTCGTTGACGGCGGACTTGCTACATTTCCCTGTTCTAAACAGCGTCGCCACAGCCGGTGCACTGCGGACGCGTTCAGGTGCGTATCAGTTGAGATTTGCCAAATGGACCAAACTGCCCTCCTTAGTCAGATTACTATGCCCTTCGTAAAATCGTCTCGATGCTGAAACTGCCTTTGTTGACGACGGCCTGGCATTCTCTCTGTCATTACACGAGGGTCTTCTGAAACAAGAACAAATTTTCTACGATGATTTCCCTATCAGAAATAATGACACAAAAAATTGAACATTCTCCAGGTTGTTTTCCTTGTATCTTCTTCAACGTGCCCTGGAGAGCTGCGCATTTCACATCATTCGCATAACTCAGTGACGTGAGTCTACTCTAAAATTTGCATAAATTTCTAACCACTCCTTCTTGGTGTTGCATTTTCAATGTCGAGCAGTTTATATATATGTACCAGATAAACAAAAAGATAAATAATTTCCAAACTCTAAGTAATTCATACATACCTGATATTCTATTTCTTTTCTAAATATATTATAAGTATTATAGAATAAAATTATATATAAAATCAAGTTTTTTTTTACATAAATTTTCAAAATGTATAATACAAGCGCTAACTTGTTTATTAACAAACATAACCTTACATTTAGTGAAATCCGCGTGGTGTTATACGCTGGGGTGATGTTCCGGTACCGTAGTGGTACAATTTTCGTTTAGTTATAATGTTAAATATGTCCTTCGGGTATTTTTAAACATCAGTGGTACATATATGTAGCGTTCGGGACGAAAGGCTTAAACTTCTTATTATCATAAAAACAAACATTGAACTTTGTTTCTCTTCGATATCTGTAGCTGCTCTGATGCTGAACTTACGACATCAGTTCATTCAAGTCTTGTTTATATGTTTATGAGTTGTCATAAGAGTTTATAGTTTATGTCTATGAGTTTATAGTTTATGAGTCGTCTTAAGACGAATTCAAGTATCTGAATTTTCGGTAGTTGAGTTGCTCCTGTTCTTACTTGAAACAAATTCCATGTATGAAAATATTTGCTAGCATTTATAAGTTGAACCGCATGCGGACAAAATGGCAAAGGCAGGTTTTGAATTAGGAATTATAAATCGGCGTTGCCAAACTTAAGAATCAATTTCTTTTTAAAATTATGTTACAATTTTTATTTTTTTAAATAAAATGCATATTACAACTTTGTAATCAAACAAAAATGTTATTCTTTATTTTCGTTTTATTTTTTATGTTGTAAGGATCTTAAGTTTTACTAACGTTTATTTTATTTTAAATCTTTACTATCACTTCATATTTTCTACTTCCGGCCAGAATTAAAAGCTTTAACTTATTTATGCAAATTTGTTGGCGAACGCCAAGTACTTAAGTTGTGGCTTTTTGCCAAGCGAGAGAGAGGAAGGAGTTAGTAGAAGCAGGCCGCTTGCCTTAGCAGTTTTACTCGGTTGCTGGTTGCCTTGCAGGCCAGAGGTTTAATCCTGTTGATAATTTTAAACGTATTGTAGTGTTAACAGTGCTCTGTACTACATACGGCTTCCTGTTAATATATGGCCAATCTTCCACGTAGGCCCTTGTTTATTATTCCAAAGTTAAGTTAGAGTTTAGTTAATATTTTTATATTCTTACGTTCAGACCACAAGTGGTTGGTCTCTGTATTCCGAAGTCCGGAAATTATTGTAAAGAGTGAAAAATAAAGGGTTTCGTATACCCTTCCTGTGTATCTTGTCTACTTTCCACATTTATTGAACATAGCTTTAGTAAGCTCCCTGTTCTGAGTCAGGTTCTTGAATGTTCCCCAAGCAAGTAAGGAGAAACACTGAACCTGATAATGTATTCGTCAAATGCTCGTTTAACATCCTTATGCATTGTATTTTATTTACGGAACTCGTGTGGGTCACTTAATTACGCAAGGGGTCACTAGGTGGTCATAGGTTACCGAGGCCTAGCAACTTCAGGTGAACTTCATATTCGTCTATAGCTCATCTATATTCATATCATACACAAATCCTCACTCATTTTCTTATTCATCGGTCTATTGCAATCAAAAAACATGTATTGCCACCACAGCAAATTGTTTCAGATTTCCATACTTTACGCCACAAAAGGAAAGCTAAACTAATATTTTTCAAGTTTTTGGTTTAAAATTCTAGTACGCTAAGATAATTTTAACATCTTCGCATGCGAAAATATTTCGCCCTAACCGAAAATGATGTCGTCTGTTCCACGAGGTATAGTCGGTTACCTCCAGTTATGCCAGTTTCTAGGCATATGAGAAATTAATTAAGAAATTTTAAACTCCTCTGCCACAAGGCATGGCTCATGGTGCTTTGGTTCACAGTTTAAAAATGAAATTTTTTTTATGCCGTATAATGCAAAATGTCATCCTTAAATCTCAGTTGACTGGATTACTGAGGATATCCTAAAGGATTCTCTGATGCGCTTTCGTAATTTAACATTCTGAAACTATCCTGTTTAAGATGCTATATCATGTTAATCTGCAAGAATGTCCTGAAAATGTTGATTCTCAGTTATCATGAGGACATCAGCGTTTAACATGTTTAGGACTTCTGAAGATTTCTATAATCAAACATTCTAAGGATGTTTATTTTTAGATTGATTTAGTTCAGATCGACTCTTAAATCTTAGATTCTTGATCGATTTAGGTTTTTCGAATCTGCAAGTTAATGGATACACATACTTTTTAATTTTCGTACACATTTTTAATTTATAAGAGTTATTTATTGAAACGTATGTAGGAATAATATAGATCAAATTACTAACCAACTCAAAACTTTTCGAATATTACAGAACTAGAATTTTATTAGCTATGTAGAAAAAACTGAGACACATTTTACAAACTTTCTGTATGTCAAAATTTCTTATGCAATGAAATTTTTCCATGATTTATTCCATCGCGATAATGAACTCTCAAAGATACTTTCTTCGAAATAAGACTCATAGAATCTTCTGTAATTTTAAACAATAGTTTTTGAAACACAATTAGCAAATCTTAGGAGTACTTTGTAACTGCTTGCTCCCCGTCATAAAGTTACCATCAGCAATATGCAAACAGAATTTTCGTTTGTTTTGTTGATCAGAGTATAGCAAATTTTATTATATCAGAACTAAATATTTTAATCGTTATAATTCAGGGCCAGCATAGCATTATAAATCAGATCTAATATATTTATAAAAGTTTTCTTTTTCAAGTTAAAAAAAAAAATTGATTATCATAAAGAAGCGAGCATTTACCCTTGTTAAAGTGTATTAGCAAATAGTAACCAACTTGTAAGAATATTCCAGCACACTTTTGATAAGGGTACTGTTATGAAAACGTCTTGGAAATCTTTGACATAGTGTTAGATTCTAGACCAAAGACCTTATAAGGTGTTTATCCCACCTTCTTAGCGAGCTTTCGTAGTGTAGAAGGAGTTGCATATTTTTTCATCTTTCCTGCTTCCAAAAATACCTAATGTCTCTACAACCTAATCCCATTTCTAACTCTGACATAGGTCTAATCCTATATCAAAAATTTTTAATGCTGAAAAAGAATAAAACTTCAAGCATGGTGATTAGAGATGCAAACGGAAGAATTGTAGATATGTGAATCACAATTTCCTTACTACAATCGCAAAGTATTATAACTTTTTTTTTTTTTTTTTTTTTTTTTTTTTGCAGGGCCTATACGCCGATTTAAGCGTATCTGTGAGCACATTCAAGCCCAGATCCTCGGGCGCCGTCCGAACCACTCTCCGAGGATAAGTCGCCGCCCGACGACCGAACTTAGCGAGAGTTCCTCTTGCGGTTCCGAGAGTATGTCTCCAACACCCTCTCGCCACCAAGTGGCAAACGATGATATGGCTGTTTCCTCCATGAACGCCAGTAGCGCTGCCGCTGTAGCCATATCTCGCTGTAAATCGGACCAGGACGCAACGGCGGACATCTTCGAGAGGGAGGCCAAGATGGTCACCACATCGCATAGGCGGGCAGCCGAAGACGTGCGACCCCTCCTCAACGGTCGCCGCATGAGCTACGACCTCAAGAATTCGTCTAAAGACAAACTCTGATATTACTTCTATTAGAATAACGACAGATCGAAAAACCAATTCTCTTTGTTTCGTTGAAACGGGGTGATGATCCCTGATGTTCATAACAACAACAAACACTCCATGCATCGTTAACTGGTACCTCTGGAGTAATTTTGAAGATAGCGCAAAGCATGCGCATCTTGAGTCGCGTAACTGCGGAAAGAATGTGAGATATTTCTGGTTTCATATGTACATGCACGTACAGCTGTATACGTAAGAGTATATATGTATGCATATAGAAAGAAAGAAATGCATAGATACAAGAGAGGTAATAAAAAAAGGCTGTAATCACACATTCAAGCTAATTCAGACCTAAAAGATCAACGATTTGTTGTCAACTGTGCACAAGGCTAAAGGAATCCCAAATCAGAATGCTTTAAATAGCGATTTAATACAACGATTACTTAAAAATAAGAGCCTGTGATGATAAACAAACTAGTTATGCCTCTATACAAATATTATATATATTACTTGCGTATATATATAATTTCTTACGTATACCAAGGGAAATTATCACATTTCTTCTGGCTCAAAACAATTTGCTACAATATCACCTTAATTGCTCCATAAATGCCTTAAATAATGAAGCCATTTCTTCAGGTATTGATTAAAATAATTATATTTTCTCACTTGCTTTCACGTCTAAAGCCGTGAAATGTGCTTGGCTTAAATGTGAGGCAAAAAATGCCAGCCAGGAAGAATTTTCTTTAAAGCAATATTCAGCAATCTTTCACATTCCAAAATATTAAGCATGAAATCCCTCTCTTGGTATATACTAGCAATAGTTATTGAAATAACGGAAGAAGGAAATATACGGTTTAAAATTTACAGCGAGTGGAATACTGATTTGGCTCAGTTAAGCAGAGGCCATTTATATATGAAAATTCTAAGTTCAAAAACCCATAGTGAAAACGTGCAAACATAACAAAATTTCGGCGTTTAATATACATATTCTATATACTTCGAGTATTTCTATATTATGCTTTTACGCAATGGTTTTTGACGCGACAATTTAACCATCGAATTTCCATCAAGCTTCCTTCAAACTTCCTACTGAAGCCTTAAAATGAACTTGGAGAAATAGCTGAAATGAAGGTCTGGAGCATTATTAGATGTCAAATGAACTCTGAAAACATAATTTTCGCTTGTAAATTCCTAATTATTGTTCGCTGTTTCAAGTTGTTTTCGAATCCCCGATGAGAAACGTTCTTTGTTACCTAAAGTGTCGTTACGTTCGAAATATGTGATACTTCATTAGTAATTGCTAGCATAGATGATTACGTGTCGTTAATTTGTTCCCAAAGTTTTGTAAATGTTAAGCCTTTAGATTATAGATTGTTGCTTGGCTTGTCTGCTGTGCTTTGTCAACCTTGAGGGCCACTTCGTTGGTCGTTGAAAGAACACCTACATTGTTCGATATGTTGCGAATATAACTGATTTGATTCCATTCGAATCGAACAGTTGATATTTAGATACGATCTCCATGAAATAATATGTAACTCGAAGTATATCCCAGCTATTCATTCTCAGTAACAAATTAGATATATATGAATGGTTAAACTTTCTCTAACTGAAATATGTATGAGTAATGCAATAGAATCATTCAAATTCTATAACCATAAATCTATGCACAATTCCTCTCTTAAATGAAGCCAGGTACAACAAGATCTTTACCCAAGTCTTTCCTAAACATTACTGCCCTTTCATATAAATATTCATCCATACATTCCATTCCAAGCACTTAATCAAATATTCAGAAACGTAGATGATGTATGATATTAATCTCATTAGCAAGAAATAGAAACATATACAATATCACTAGTTTGTAAGATTTTCCAAGAGGTGAAAATTAAATGTTCCACACCGAAAATGGCAAACCCTGTCTAAATCTTGAGATGTGCAATATAAATAGACGCTGATTGCAGTGTGCTCTGCAACTGACTATCCGTGTTCAAGCACTGGTTAAGTTATTTTACATTTGTTGGCAACAGCACTAGTTTTAGAAAGAACACCGTGTGCGTTGAAAAACCATAGATTTATTTATTTTTACTATATATTTCAGTCCTCAAAGGTGACACTGCACTTATTTGATTTCAGAATATTCGTAGATTATTGTATTTATTATTATAAAATGTAGATTTAGAACTTCACATATGAGCCTTTTGAAATAATAGCATACCGTTAAGGGCATTTTCGAGGAAGACTCGAAGCTGTGTAATAAATAAACTGCATTGTTTGTATATATTCTCATATGGACATCATCTGCATGAGGACGTTCATCGCATGAAGTTCTACAGTAGTTAACACTACTTCATCGAAACTTGTACGCTATTTAATCTTAAGAAAAATGTTACTGTTAATAATTGCAGATAGTTAAAAAAACTAATTCATGAATATATTAAAAAAAGGGAAAATGTTTTTTCGAAGTTTGGGATACTTCTACAAGAAATAAGGAAATCGTTTGTGAAAGAATACAAAAATAGTTCCATGGTTGTGTAGAAACTGGTTAGTCATATTTAAAATTTCTCTGGTATATAAAAAAAAATTCACGCATTTTTGGCGGGGTAACGTAGAATTAGATGAATTCGAAGGATAACGTAAGACCTTTAGAATGAGTTCACAAAAATTGTGTCATTTTCAGAATGCTGTATCTGATATTGTTTTGAAAGCAAAACTAATACCCAGATTATCATAAATACATTTTAAATATGCAGCAATACATTTTTAGCGTTGACTAGAAGTAGACAGAGAAAATATTAGATTTTATTGTAAATATCTTAACATTGTTTTTCTACTGAAAATGACACATTTTTTCGCGTGAATCTTTACTAAACGTCCAAATAAGTGTTTAAAGTAGAAATTAGGCGTGTGAATGCTTAGGACTTAAATGATCGTGTTTCTCAAAAAACATAACTACAATAACAAGTAAAGAAATAAAATTGACATGGAAATTAAATATTATTTTTCGTTAATTCCGCAACTACTTTGGAAAAATTATTAAAAAACAAAAAAAAAAAAAAAAAAAAAAAAAAAAAACTAAGTCATAATGGAATCTGAATATTTGATATACTGAGAAAGCTTCAGAAGAATTTTACATATCCTTTATCTCTATAGCTTACGTATTAAAGATTTAGACTACATTTGAATTTTCATAGGAAAATGGTTCTGTTAGTTAAAGAATGTGCAGAAGTGTAATGAAAGAAAGTAAGCTATAATTTCAGACAACTGACATATAAAACGCTTTTCAAGTAAATTATAAATTAAAAAAAAAAATATTAAAAATTCTATACTTGTGGAATGCAAACCAAAGTAACTGTATTCAATAAATGATAGCAAAAATATACTTCTAAAAAGGACTACTTTTAAACCAAAAACTGGAGGTAAACTTTAACTTTTCGTTGCAATGTAAAAATGAAATTTTGTCTATTGTTCCATGGAATTTATTGCTTTATCAGCCCTTGAAGAATGCTATGGTTATTTTAAATCTCTTAAACTATTCAGTTAGTGCTGTATATCACATAATTTTGAATCAAAACATGCCGATTACCTTTATAAGATAGTAGTATATAAGATTCATAGTCTTATACTCTAGAAATTGCATACAGCTTATAGTAGAAGCCATTATGTGATCACGTTAAATGGCGTCTACTATAAGAGTAGTTTGATAATTATCCGACTACGTTCGACATCCAAATTTTTGAAAACACGACAAATAAATCTATTATTGGTGTTATTTAGTAGAAGCTACTTAAAATGATAGAAACGGGTAATAAATATATTATCAAATTATAAATTTTGATTTTTTTCAGACATTTTAGGTTAAAAATGTGTTACGTTTTGAGGATAACTAGATGTCTTCCAACAAAATATTAATCAGTAGTTTACTTTTATTAGTTATTACTTTTATTTATTAATATAAAAGGAAATAAAAGGACTGAATTCTAAGCGATAAAGTAAAATGTCTATTACATATACCTGTTTCAATACATGCACTAACTATTTTTTGAGAATTTTTTCTCATTTGATTTATAAAATTGTCCGAAACATTTTAAATATGTACATACGGCTTCTCTCTAGAAAAGTTATTAAATGCATTTTAAAATTATTTATACTTTAAATAACTTTACTTAAGTATCTCCAGTCTTTCATTTTTCATTTATTTATTTATTTATCTTTTTCTGTTGCCAATAACAAGCTACAAACATCGTGGCTCATTAAATTCCATTCTGTAAAACGAAATATTAGATTATATTTTCAGTATTAAATACTCTTGAAAAGTGATTTTTTTTTTTTTTTTTTTTTTTTTTTTTTTTTGTCAAACCTGATTTTATTTTCTTAATCGAGTCACAAGAATTGAAGAAAAAATTATAATAATGTTTTATGTAAAATTTTACTACATTATTTTCATAGGAATAGTTATTTATGAAAATATTAAACTATTCTTAATTTAAAATAACCGAATTTTCACAAGTGCCTAATATTGAATAATATTAAAAATAGCTTAAAATACCGTAACTCTTTATTCTATAAACTTTTAATTCTGCTTTGAGAGTTTCATATATTTGTAAATTTTATAATTTCCTTAGGCTTATCTTTTGCCTAAGGAAATTACAAAATTAATATACTAGTTCTGTTATTAGAGTTGATTTAAAAGGTTTAGGAGAGAATCCAATTCTCTTTTTGCATATTTGATTTTGAATTAACACCATTACACCATTCAAAAGACTCTTTTTATAATTCTATTTTAATTCAGTTTTTGAAAACAGTATTCTTAATCAAGAAAAAATTTCGAAGATTTCATTTGAAACAAAAAAAGTACCAATTTTATGATCACACACATTTTCTTTTTTTTTTTTTTTTTTTTTTTTTTTTTTTTTTTTTTTATAGAAGTTTAAACTCTGAAAATGTACCAGAGATACACATTTTGAGCACCAAAATTTCGATATTGAAATCTCCATTAACATAATTACATTCCCTGCTATAAATAACACTGGAGCCTGAAAAATGATGCAAAGTATCTGAAGCGATGAAAATGGTTTAATCCTAATTTTTACTTAAAGGAATCCGTCTATTGCAGAAAAATGATAACGGAAAGAAATTATTAAGTGCTCTTTCCATAATTAAATTTTATTTCTTGCCCACTTGAATTAGTTACAAATACTTGAAGTATGAGATAATTTTTATAAGAAATAAAAATTCTATTTAAATAGGTTAAAATCATGTAAATATTTTTTGATTTTGTCTGAAAATAACGCTTTATTTCTATTCACATCTCGATTCAATTTTGTATTTTTGCGTTTGCGCTGTTATCTTTTACATGGTTTTGACGGTTAACTTTCTATTAACAACTGAGTATAAACTTATCTACAATTCATAGAACAAAATTACCATTAAATATGAAGATAAACCAACTCCCAATTTTGATTGTAACTTTGCTGTGTTCTATGTGGACACCGTTGTTAAAACCATGGAACAATACACAAATTTGATAAATAAACTTTATATTAAAGTTATGAAATCTCGTACTAAATTTAAATATATACGAAGAATACAAAATTAGGCTATTAAAAATATTGTTATTGAATTCTTTCAAACGGTATAATGAAAGAAACTAACAACAAATTAGTCATCAAAATAAAATCGCTGCGCAGTTTAAGCATATACCAATATAATTATCATTAATTATTCAAAGACTTCCTTTTATTGCCCCTGTAAGTTTCATATATATAAATTAAAAATACAAAATAAGAAAAATCATTGAGTGATACAATTTTCAGGTTCTTTCACACTGCCATATTTACTGCAAAATGTGCTTCAGTATTGTAAACATTCAAACTGTTCAGCTGCTTAAACTTTTTAATACCGCTAAATAAAATTTTTAATACCGTAAGTGAGCACAAAACTGAATATTTATTACTATTATTATTGCTACAGCCAGGACTTTAATCATAAATACCAAATAATTATTTCTTCTTCATCGATGCCTTGGAATTAATTTTGAACAATATTTCTTCTAAATGCGATGCATTCTGATCATTTATGAGTAAATGATTATGGCTTTTCTTCTATGAAAAATGAAATTGTGCACCAAATTTTGTCTTCTGATTTTTCTTATTCGAACAACGCATTCATGAAGAATGCATGTTCTAGAAGAGGGGTTCTCAAACTTAAATTTTGTACCACATAAATACGAATAAAAAACATATGTAATATCGTAAAAGCATTTTCCAGTTAAAATTCGTGCCATTTTACATTCTTTTCGAGCTTTCATTTAAATCTCTTCTGTAAAAATTGTACCACCAAAGATAATGTAATGTACCATTAGTGGTACATATACGACAGTTTGAGAAACTCTGTTCTAGAATGTGTGCCTCTTGACTATGATGATTACTGTGTCGTGAATGGGCTGAAAGATGATAGTATGAATGATGTTATCAAATAAAGTACAACAATGTTGACAAAAAAAAAAAGGTCTCTGAAGTTTATTTCTGTATACTGCTCCTTTCTCACTTTTACTACGGGTTAAAAAAAAAAAAAAAAAAAATATGAGATGTTTCAGATTTTAAATTACGTCCAAAGGGGCGTTTTTTAACATTTTGTGTGTTACCTTTCTTTATTAAATATCATGTTCCTCGCACTTAAACCATAAGATCCAGTGCAACAGCAATAATCGCAAAATAGTTTTAAAACGAGCATATCTTTAGAATTTCCGATACAGAGACTCACGCGCTGGAGATAAAAATGTTTTTTTTCTGCCACAACGTTGCCATTGCTCGCTTTGAAATCCTTGAGTTTGTTAATCAAAAATTCGTCAAAGTTTTTTAAAAAAAATAAAAATAAGAAATCGATCATAAAACAAATTTCAAATTTCAAATTTGGTCTTCCACATGCTCATATTCGTTGGAGGATTGCGTTATTCAAAATTCGATGACTCTATGTACCGTTGTTTTATCACAATACGAGAAATATACATACATTTATGCAGATTTTTCATTATTTAATTTCTTCAAATATAATGCAGGACTCTTAACATTTTGTGGCAACAGTTTGAAAAGTGAACCGACATTTATGAGTCCGACGCAAGATGCCAAAACGAAACTAATAGTCCTTCGGGATTCAAATCCCTTTGGACTAAAAAAGCAAGCATTATTTTATTTACTTGGCGAATGACTTCACACATTTTTTATGTTTTTTAAATTATAGAATGATGCCCCAAAAAGGCTCTTTAGTAAAAAATGGCCTTAGAACACAAATGGTGATTTAGCAACACAGACGCGTTTAAAGAAAAACTTGGTCGGGTTGAACTAATTCAAAGAGGACGTTTTAGCTTTCTACTGCTGAGTAACATAGCTTGCAAAAAGTTACATATACACTCATCCGTTTCTTAAGAATATCAACTGTAAGATAAAACATCAATAAACTAAACAGCGAATTTTTAATTATGTATTCGAAACTAATTTTAATAATAATACGTAGTACATCTATAATTTTATAAATAATACGTAGTAGTATTATTCCTAACGTAATAAATATAAATATATTCAAACACATAAAATCGACTCACCAAGAAGAAGTAATCTGTATGAGATAAAAAGTACACAAAAAAGTAGTGATTACAATTTTAGAAAAACTGTACAGATTCAAGAGAAAAAACTAGACTAATTAAGTAAGTCATTACGTTGATCTACTTTTTGCCTGGATGGAACCTCTTATTCAGAGTGACGTTAACTCTTAAGGTGATATATGATGTGCCGTGAAACTTCTTGTCAAATTGTCTCCAATTCTGATGTTGACTCAGAGACATTCTGAGATGGCGCCTTTCCATTGGCCCCATAATGTGTAGTATAGTCGGGTATTACCTTGTTGAAAAGCATACCCGGAATGGTGTGAAAGGAAGAGCAATATAACCAGTAGTAGAATTCTATTTTTACGTACCTTTGTACTGTAAGGATGTCACGGATGACTACAATCCTCAGAGCCGAAATACAGGTTTCTAAATTACAGAGCATCATCCCCGCAGTGGAACACTGGTGCCCAAAATGGCGTATTGCTATCAATGCGCAGAAATCGCAGTTGCTCATTATCCGTAAGAAGACTCCTAGAACCCCTTTAAATGTGACTTTAAAACTTTTTGACATAGACGTGCCTATTGTAAATAAGGCTGTTTATGTTGGTGTCGTCATGAATAATAAACTCAGTTGGAAAGACCATGTGACTAAAGCCAGAAGTAAGGCCATAGCTGCACTTACTAGTATTTCTTCCATTATGGACAAAAACTCAAAGTTAAACCTCTCTAAAAACAGACATTTATATACGGCAGTTATCCGTCCCATTTTCTCGTACGTGTACCCGGCGTGGGCGGCGGCCACACATAGAGATATAAATAAATTACAAATTCTCCAAAACAAAGCCCTGCGTTTAATGACAAACGCACACTACTTTGTCTCTAATGACACGCTTCACAGAGACCTAAAAATTGAGCCTGTTGACAAATTTCTTCACCGCACCAACAGCAGTTTCTTCGATAGAGCGGTCAGTTGCCCGTACCTTGCTCAATTCAACATGTTTGATTATATACCTCTGCAAGAGGACTACAAAATAAGACCGTACGCTGCCCATATCACGAGGAATGCAAATTTCCCTACTTAATTATGATAGCGCACGAACACTTTGTACATATGTAAATATTTATTTTAATTGGATTTGTATTTTATTTTGTACCTTATTTGTGTATTTATGTACCCTGTAAATAATTTTTATTTTATTTTTACTTTCTGTGTATTGTTTTATACATGTATATGTCACGAACAGACACTTGTTAGATTGCGCGACACCAGCCTCTCCTTGGTATTTCTCGCCTTGTGACGCATGGTCACCTCCTCTCACCTACCTCCGATGCCTCGTTGGCCCGTCCTGTTTTTACCGTCATGTGCCCATACGGCTAATTCTATCATTGAGCAGGACACGTCTCTGCGATACCGGTACTGACTGACTGGATGACTACAACACACTGGGATCACAAGCACACTGGTTTGCAAGGATGACTATAGCACATTGGGACCACAACACACTGATTTGCCCAACGGCCCATAATGCTGTTAAAACGGTACTATCTCCACGCCATGCCTTCTTATTGTCGGCTTATGTGTTTGCGAAAATAAAAGGTAGAATATTAACGTTGTCCTAGACATCTCCCAGAAAAATCAGCGCTGATATTCGGGATTCATCACTGAAAGCTCCAGTCAGTATAAATCCAGATCAGTAGAGCCCGGCATTACTGCAATCTCACTTGACGTGAGGATGAGGTACAGCTGCGTAATGGACAGTGGGAGCATGTGTCGTTATAATACTTACTCCCTGTCTTCCAATTTTCTTATTCTTCTAGTTTGACCATTGCCCCTTGATGCTGAAATCTGCCATTTTCGTTTAATCCCCGTAAAGCTCGGACTCAAATGTCCAGCCATTCTATTATTTGTGTATTAAAAGCCACTTTCAGTCTGATAGCACGTTACATAGTTCTCGATGAGCACGAATCTGTTGAACAGGCATTGTTATAATCGAAATGGTAGCATCAATGAAAACATAATGAATATTTTGCTCTCAAAATGGAGTTTCTCTTACTAATTCCGATATGCTGGAACTCTGGCCATTTATTCTTTTACGGCTAAATTTGAACCATTTGCATTTTAGGCCAGAAAGTATTTGCATACAAAGTTAACACCAAAATCATAAAATTTTCTTTCCGGGTGCAACTAATCTTTATGTACACAAGTGTATACACCGCATTTCCTAACCTATTTTCCACCTTTTACTAACTAATTTTATCGTCCAAAAATCAAGAGGGGAAAACTATGCAAATAATTTAACTTCCAAAGAATGTGATCACAGTAAGAACGTAATAAAAAGCAGTAATGGATAAATAACTAGTTACTACCACAATATTCTTTCTTAAAAAAAAAAAAAAAAACTATATTCCAATAAGTATACACTTCCAATAGTAATATTAACAATACAATACCTGACAAATATTGAGCTGGCATTTGACGGATATCTGATGGTAACTAAGCCGCTCAATTACCATATAAAACCACAGGAGGCACCTTACATAAATGAGTTTTGATGGTAGTTCCTAAAATGGGCATCCTAGGAATGAATGGGAGCGAATAAAAGGTCCGAATTTTGAAAGATCGAACACATCAGCAGTAAAGAAAACTACAGTCAGCTAGAACGTAAATAACAGAAGTAATATGAAACATATGTTTCAAAAGCTTCTTAAGTGCGACAATACCTGCCACGTCCGGGGTAACTTAACGAACAATCTGTGCAAAATACTATTCAAATAATAAATGCAAGGAAAATAAATTTTCAAAAGAATACAATTTACCAGTAAACTGGCCCTCAAATAGAAGAATTATGTGCAATAGGAGAAGGGGGAAATTATGCCAATACTTTTAAAATGCTCAGAACCTAGCGCTAGGGATTTGCAGAATACAAATCATAAAATTAGATCATAATAATAAGATTTACAACATCCCATCTGTTGTATTATTGGAATCTTAAAATTTACAAACGTATTACAAAAATATAGTCTTTATGACCGCGAATTTCTGAATACCTATTTTTCCCCAGTTTTAGTTCAAAAAACAATATTTCGCATTTAACCGCCAGTATTGGTAAATTTCACGAAAATTATATGTTCTCAATTATTTATTAGATTTTAGAGCTGTTTGATTCATTTGCACGACCCCTGATATCCACTTGGTATTCTTAGAAAGTCTATTCCATCTCAGTTATGGTAAAAAGTTGCCAATGTTACCGAGAGAGGGCGCCACCAGTTCTACTGTCTCAGCTCTGCGAAAAATTCTCGCCGCTTAGTGTAATGTTTTATCCACGGCTATTTTTGATATAATTAACCGAATGGTAACATTAAGCAATAGAAAGAAAAGTTTCCTTTAAAACAGTAAAGGTATTTAACTAATTTTATATAAATACAATAAGAAACAGATAAATAAGTACATTCATAGAATTTTAACTAGAAAAATGTAAACATTTGTTTATAAACTGTTCACAATCTCTATTAACACAATAGTTCATTTAAGAACTGTTCATAACATTTCTGGAAATTATTTAACCGATGCTATTCTCCTAATGTCCATACTCGGACAGCATCCCCCATTCACTGGATTTAAGCCAAAGGTTGAATTTTTTAACGATTGACTAAAATCGAAAAAAGGAAAGAAAATCTGAAAACTTTCAGAATTTATATTACATTTATATTTAAAGTTTTGTGTATTACCTTCATTTATTAAAAATCATATTCTTCGCCCTTAAACCATAAAATCCATTTCGACAGCTATATCATAAAAAATAAATTATATCACACTAAAGAATAAACATGATTCTCGCAAGACCATGTTTTGACCAAGTTTTTCACATTTTTATTCGTAACACATCTCACACATAACCATATTAGATTGAAATATAAACCAAGTATAATTAATCAGGTAATCCGAGAAAACGAATAAAAAATAAACTTACCTAGTAAGCAAAAAAATATCCGCTACATTCCGAATTCTAAAAAGTTGTTTACATAAACATTTATCGCAAGACCTGCCGGGAAAAAGATATCAGACGATTGCAAACGCAGGATCGCTAGAGATCACATGATCATTTTATTTTCAACAAAAGTGAATCGACGCAAAATTCCAAAATGAAATTAATAGCCCTTCTGGCCAAATTGTCCCTTTGGGTTAACAAGTAGTTTGATGACATAACCCCTTACTTGGCTACATCTTTCTGATTTCTGGATATTTTTATAATTAATCTCAACTTTACTTAAGTTACAAAAAGAATATTCGATACTTTTATACAAATAGTCGGGACTTAGGCAAATCGTTAACAATATCCGAATATATAACTGCAATCACATCAAATAGCCTCTCCAGTTAGAATCATTAAGTACACAGTGCTTACCTTTCTAAATATGCTTAGAGCTTTATGATGAATGTGTTCACTTAATTAATAACTTTGTATGTTAAATCAGGTCGCCAATTCCGAATAAAGGTTAATTTGTTAAATATATTAAAATTTTATTATTCCATCAACCATTTCAATGTTTCCAAGCAACAGTTCAAAATTATTTTTGTGATGCTACTCTTTTGTATTTTTTCTGATTTTTGTAATTTCTGAGGTTTTAGTATTTCACATTTATTTAATTCTTATTTGACATACTATTTACAGGGTATTTAGAAATATAATGGTATTGAATTAATACTGATAATTGTAAATTTCTATGCTGAATAATTTTCACAGCATATTGCAGGGAAATACTTGGAATAATTGTTTTTAAATAAAAAATTATTGGAACTTTATATATATACTATATACAGGTGAAGTTAAAAAAATGTAAGTTAAAATACTAATTTTTTGACAGTTTTCCAATATTTGCTTAACTCTCCATTTTAGTTTGGTTATTTTACCTTTCTATCTGAAAAAGAGTAACTGCTTATAATAAATCTCTCTAAACTGCATATTTCAAAATTACATAATCCTTACATCAATCATTTCAGATTTGAGAACTGAAATATTTAATAGCCAATGGGGAGAATATAAACAAAAATTGAATCACTCTGCACTAAGACTTCATCTTGAACATGTCACATTTGCCCTTGATGATGATAGCAATTATTCTGATATTTGAATGAAAACTTTAAAAGTTAGCTAGATGAAGCAGCAAACTGGATAAATGGTTCCAGTCCCAGAAACTTCATTCAGAAAATACTAAAAGTTATGAAACACTTCAGACGAATGTAAGGCCAAGACACTTTATATTGAACAGCAGCTAGCATGCATACGAACAATTGAAATACCTATCCGCTTGTAGCAAAGAAGTGAAGTGCACAGAAGGTGGGTGTCTTACGACAGAGATAGTGGGTCCGGGCCCGCATTTTTCCTCTGATTTTCTGCTCTGGCAAAATTTTATTTTCATCTACGTGATGCAGTGAGAATGTATCTCAACTTTTTGTCATGACCGAGAGAGGCCCTAGAGCTCAATTTGAGTTACTAGTCAAAACGTTTTAGTTATAAGCCAGTCGCAAGAAGTTCCAAGATCCTGGTGGCATCAGATGTGTCGAGAAATCTAAGGTTAGAAGCATCACAATTACAGTGCTTTAAATCTCTCTTTTGTTGCCAAGACCAGAGTGGGAAGCCAGTAATAAATTTCATAAAATGTTGGCTTAGGGAGAAAAAGTGATAGACAATTGCTATGTGTTATTTCCAAACTCTGAGATTTTCATTTATAGTGATGCAAGTGATCTTATTTTGTCTTTTCTGGAAATCTAAGAGGAGAACAGTTTATGAAATATTGGGTCATGACACATTATTTTAATTAAAAAGCTTAAATATTATAGCTCTTTTGCTTTTTAAATAAATAATTTTTAAAGCTGCAATGCTTTAAAAAGTAGCATAACATATTTTGACCTTATGAAAAGCAAACCAATTCGTACCAAAGGTAACTTTAGCCAAGAGAAATGTGTATAATTGACTTCCAGTCTATTACTGGACTACTTTTTTTTTTTTTTAAGGCTTCATAGCTTGCCTAGACATACATCACTAATTTACACATACCTGAATTACTGTAATAACAAACATTCATTGAATCTTTTTTAGATCATGAATACTGGATTATAATCTTGTTCCAAAACACTAGAAAAATTAAATCATCAGATATATGCTAATCTTAAAATTTCAATAATTTGCTGATGCCATGATAGAAAACAGCAAGCCCATAAAAACAAAAGAATTTATTACCAAACTGCAAATTACATAACATGTGTAGAAATAATGAAGCAAAACTGCTTCCCTAAATGCAGTAATTTTTTGTTATTCATACATTATTCTAGCTACATAACTTTATGACAAAAATTATCTTTCAGAGAAAATTTAAAATTACTTTGCAGAAAACACCTAAGCTATTTTTTAAAATCACATCGCAATTAATAGCATTATAATTCACAAATGCAGTGCATTTTACACATCTTACACAGCAACATTTACACAAAGATGGATAACTATAATATCTGTGCATCATCAATGTAATATACACAAAATAATCAGTGTAATATACACGAATGTTCAATGTAACAGAATATGGCTAAACTTTCAATCTTCTTAATAACAGAACTGGACAGTATAATACACTCATGTTAAATGTATAGTTTTGATATATTTATATTTAAAATGCTATTAATAAAATGCACTTTTCTAAGATTTTCTTGTGTATTTAAGAAAATAATATTCTAATGTTTCGATACAGATTTGAAATAGGAAATATTATTTAGAGAGGAAGACATTAAAAAGAATGGGTCACCAAAATTCTCTTATTTTTACAGCAGTATTTGACAAATTTTAAATGAACATTTATTGAATTCAATAAAATATTTAAAAACCTAAATTTTTTAATTAAAAAATTGAGAAAGTATAAACAATAATAAATTGAATAATTGATGAAAAAGACAAGTTTTATTATTATTATATTACTTTATTATTTGGAATATGTTGCAAAAAATAATACAAATATCCATAGAAGATGAACTTACATTTCTGTTTTTCATGAAAAGTTTGATCACAAAAGAAAGAAATGATGTTTGAAAATTGAATTTACATGACAGAAATGATACTTTGTCAATTTTTACAGACTTAGTTCAAAAAAAAAAAAAAAAAAAAAAAAAAAAAAAAAAAAAGATAGCAAACTTGAACATAAATATATATTAGCTTAAAAACCTGTAAAATGCCTCATTAAATAAAGATCTTTATTACTTATTTTAAATTTTAATTCATGTGAAATTACTTATTTTTATTTATTTATATTTTTATAAATTTTATTTTTATTATTCTCAAGACTATCTAACACTAAATGCATTAGTTTTCCTATTTGAAACTCGGAGATAATCTTTCCTTTTATTCTAAACAGATTAGAATTCTAGGGTCTGTTTTCTTTTAAGCAACTGCTCCATTCAGATTTTAACACTTAGGTAAATTTTACAGTAACTTGGACATTTTTACACCTACATACCAGATGATTCACTTGATAAAATTATAATGTAATGCTTTTACAATTTTATTTTAATTTAATTAGCTAATAAAATATAAATTTTATCATTAGCTAATTAGCTAATAAAAAATAAAATATATTTTATTTTAATACAGGCTAATTAAAATAAAATAACTAATTTAATTATTTTATTTTAATTAGCCTATTAATTAAATTAGTTATTTTATTTTAATTAGCCTATATAATAGTGCTAGTTGCTACAGTGGACTTCATATTAAGAAGTCCATTATAATAATTAAACACAATTAAGTAAAAATATTTTACTAATAGCAGTTTTGTTGGAGCTCGGTCCAGCATTATCAAGGCATTGTTGATATATATAACAAGTCAATACATTACATTGTATCAACAAGTTAATATATTAACTATTATCACCTTATTACATTTCAAAATTCTACTGCCCTCTTTGACAGATGACTGAATGTTTGTGCATCTTTGCTCTTATCTGCGAATTATTTTGGCTGTTCACTTGTCCCCACCGAAAAATTTTTTGGTGCTGAAGAAGAAAGATCTTCGTCAATCTTCTAATTTGATGCAGTTTTATATAAAATTACCACCCCCTTCCCAACTTTGCATTAGCATATTTCTCTTCTGCGTAGAGATATGAAATTTGTTTCAGTAAAACAGCTTTTAGGTATCAAAGGAGAAAAATAATTTAAACATGAATATTTCACTTAAAATTAACTATTAACTTCTATCATTAGCTATTATATTAACTATGTTATCAAGTTAATACATATATTAACTATCAAGCTGCATAAATTTGTTTTTCTCAAGATTTAATGGGGCATTATTCAAATGAAAATTGATTATAACTTATCTGTACTTTATTATTAAGTCCTCTGCCTTTTAACTTCAACTGATTTGTAAACACTATTTAGGAAGGCTTTTATTTATTTTCTTTGAAAAATATGGCGTCTGTAATTGAATGCTAGATATTTTCTTCATCTCTCATTGTCTAGCATATTTTATTCTTATAGTTTCCTAATTGCTTGCTGAAATCATTGTATTGCAGACATTTTTATCATCCTTTAGCGGTAAGAAATTATATTACTATCAACAGAATCGTAATTTGATTGTTCAAAACAATAAATTCACAAATAATTTTCACATTTGTAACCACACAAATTAAAACATACACATCATTAGCGTTAACTTTGAAACAACTTATTCTCAATTATTTCTCATGTGGTGAATGATAATTTTTAGAAATCAAGGTGTACAAAACTATTATTATGCTTTCAGAGCAGGAGACATGAAAAAGCAATTATAGCATTGCCAGGAATCGAACTATAAATCTTCAACTGCTAGTGAAACATGCTAATTACTACACAATAAAAGTAAGCACAAGAGGAAAGTCATAATTCCTCACAAGAGTAAGGCATGAACACTGATCAGTCAATCGAACATGTGTATCATTAAAATTTAAATGCAACTAAAAATCACAATATTTTGAGCATTCACTGCAATACACTGTTAACTGTCAAACAGGCTTAGTTTGTGAAAAAACACCAAGCTTTGTCTCCTCCAGGAAGAAATACTTCAAGTGCAAAAGATTACAATCATGCTTAGTTTGGGGAAGGGGGCGACTAACCACTTGCTTTAAAAAACAGCTTTATTTTTCTCCAGATAAACAAATCTTCATTTAAGAAAAATTTTTCTCGGTAAACAGCTATCGAAAATACAATCATCCTTTCGGAATATTAGTTTATTGTGAAGACGGTAAATAAATCATAAATATGGAGAGTATTATTCTCAGAATCATAATTTACAACATTTAATCATTACGCTAGAATCTTATCTCAAGCTTCAGAATTTTTTTAAATGGAATTTTCAGACATAAAGCTAGTACTCATATAAATATGATAAGTGATAAATATGTTATTTAATGACTAAATATTAGACACTTACAGATTAGTTTTTTTTTGGGGGGGACAGTAATTTAATATAAATATGTACATGAATTTTCTTTCATTCATAAAAAATTAAACTTAAGAAAATTTAATATTTTTTCCCTAAGATTTAAATAGTATTTGGTTCTGAATTTCGTATCCCCTTAATTAGTCAATATTGAATTTTAGAAAATACAAGAAAAAAGTATGTACATACAGACAAGATTCGTTAAAACTTTCTTTTCCAGACAAAGCAAAACAAATTTCTTTAAATCCAACAGTTTTAAATACCGTATATAAATTTAGAATTCTAATATTATAATTTATCTTAATCTATTATTTAATACATTTAATTAATGTATGGCATTCAAATTTCGACTGAATTCTTCTCATTCTAAATAAAAAAAAAAAAAAAAATTAAATAAAAAATATATTTTAAAATTTTATATTTCAAGAAATCATAAAAATTTTAATAATGTACAGTGATAAATTAACTTTTAGAATAAATTACTATTTTTAAGCCCTTTTGAATGTATTTATAAATTTAATATTCAATAAATACTATTTCTCTCTAGAAATGCTTAGAATGTTTGCTAAACAACCATAATTTTGTTATATTTTACATTAAAGAATCATTTCTAATACACTCTTTTTGGACTCACTTTTTAAAATACTGCTTGTTTTTAAATATCATACATTTTATGAACTAAACTAATATACTGCATACACATAGGGGTACACACATACATGCATGCCCAAAGAATTATAGTCACACATATCAGCCAAATAATGAAACTGCTAAAATTTTGCATTAATAAACAATAACCCTATGCTCAAAACAAAGAAATAAATAAATCTTCTATAGTTAGTAACAACAGGTCCTTTAAACTGTAATTTTGATTTTAAATCCTATTCGCAAAATATTTTTACTTGCTCAGATTTCCTTCAAACATCTAGATTGACAGAAATTACTAGAGTTATTGATATTAATTACAATGCAGGTTTTCCTGGGAATTTTGTCTGCTCCTCCCTTGGCTCAATGTTTATTTCATCTTTTGGTTCCATTTGTTATTATTTGGCTGTTCACCTGATCCTCACTACAAAATTTTTTAGTGCTGAAATTTTAGCACTGAAGAAAATCTGTTTCAGTAAAGCAGCTTTTAGGTATAAAGTGAAAAAAATAATTTAAACATGAATATTTCATTTAAAATTAAATTGGAATGATTGATTCAAATGAGAATTTTTATAGCTTTCTCTAAATGTAATGCAACTAACTATAAGCCGCTTACAGAATTCTCTAGATAAGCTTCTAAAAAAAACATCATTTTGCTCTCCAAGATATAGCTAAACTAAATGCCCCAGTAAGCAAATTTAATTTTCTAATTCCAAACACATCCCTGAAAATGCATTCTTAATCCAAAGCACCAAGGTCTCACATAATTTAGGAATTCAATTAAAATAAATGCCAGTTTCTAGTAAAACTGCCTTCAATGGCAAAATTTTGATCACACTATTCTGACTAATTCACATTATTCTGTCTAAATATGAAAATTTTCAGAGCGACTAAATTGGAGAAAATTTGTTGGCAAGGCATGAACACACACCTTGAAGATTAAAAGAAAATTTAAATATTCTTTGATGTAAGGAAAGCTAACTATGTATATATATGCACAACGGTAAAGAAATACATATATAAAGTACACTTTATTTATAAACTACTCATAAGCTGTAATACATCATACACACATTACATACCTTCACTAAAATTGCACTATTATATTAAATACACCTAGTGAAAACTACGACTGACATTTACTATTCCATTTTTGTATTTAAATTTAAGTTTTTATTACCATTCTGAATGCACATATTAAAAAGAATTTAAAAATAGAAAAAAATCGAAACTGATAATGAAACACATCTAATTTAGATTGCTTTCAAAATATGATCAAAAGTACAATTTAAGTAATGTCCTTTTGCAACCAAAATGTAATGAATATTCTGCCCAGTTCTGTTCAATAAATTAAAAATTTAAAAAGCATCATTAACTAAATATATTAAAAAGGCAAAACTTCAGTTACATTAATCACATTTAACATAAAGAAAGATGGCATTTAATATAAAGTATTTAGGAGGATGCATATTCCATTTACACTTTGGTTTTCTAATTGCACAAAAATGTTTAAAACTAATTAATTTCTAATTTTTTATAAACAAAACAAAACAAAATTTGAAATCAGCTAACATTTATAAAAAATGTCTTAAAAATAATTAAATAAAACACATTTCAGTATATTCAAAGAAATATTTCACACAAATTTTTCATAAATAATTTAATGAATTTACATAATATACACACACTATTGAACTAAGCATATTTCGCCTATCAGATTCAGCATCATTATATGATACTTAATATTTCACATTTTAAAACCAAATGGCTTAATGTGAAGCTTGAGTATTAAAATTAATTATTCAATTAAAAATATTCATTGCATTAAATATAATGCAAAAAATTTAGATTATAGATATAATTGTGCACATAACACTATACTTTGCATTATAACATGAGATATATAAGTTTATGCCAATTAAGTTTACTGAAAATGTATTTGTTTCTTGAAACACCAGTTTTACAATTTCAGGTCTAATCAGTTCCTTCATCAAATTCTGCTTTTCTCAAATGAGGTATATTCCTAGAACATTTGCATACAGTTTTTTTATATCAGATCATATTAGAGTGAGTTTCTATGCTCAAATACAGAGATTATTTCTGCAATTTAACTTCAAAAGGTACTTTTTTCTTTACATAAATGCATAACCCTGTAACATATAATCATCGACCAGTCATCACTGCATATTCATTGTTTACAGTCAGCCTATAATGAAAATACATAAATTACAAATATTAACACAGCAGAAGAGAAATCTAATTAATGTGGCAGAAAGCAAGCACAATGCATTTAAAAAATAAACTTTCCAAATATATCTTACTTGAAAATTGGCGTTTGGGTGGAGTTTTAACAAAATCAAGACGTATTACAGATGGAGAGGGAGCTACACTCTACAATATCAAAAGAACAGAATAGTTTATTTTGCAGAAATTCACATTCTAAATCATAATTTCAAGAATTTTATAACAATTTCAGATCGAACCCTGCTACAACAAACTGCTACAATATGGGCTTTAGGCTATATAGGGATTGAATGCACACACTCCAATTTACAGCAAAACTTGTAAGTAGTCAATGCGTGAACAACACTTTTACAGTTTTGAAAGCATGCATGTAAGGCATATTTTTTATTAACCATTATTTCAAACTAATTTAATTATATTCAAATTAAAATCCATTAATATAAAAAAGTTGAATTATTAAAATTTTTCCTTTTATTACTCAAAAAGAATCACTAATCTACTGTTATACTACTGAAGAATATTTTAAATCACAAATAGTTGCAGAGGAAATTAGAATCCATAAACCACATATCTTTGAGGTTTGAGAATTCTGATTTCTACAGGGAAATAATTTTTTTAAAATTAAATTCTAGATAGAGATAAAGATATTAGATAGAGATAAAGATAAAGATATTCTAGATAAAGAAATAAAGATCTAATCATCAACAAAAATACTTATACTTCATTTATAAATTAAAAATGTACAGATTTAGAAGCAGCATGCTTTATAAGTGTAAATTCTGAATTATGTAATCTTTTCCTACAGTTTTTCCTTTACTTTCACGTTTACTTTTTTAATAATCTGGTCCTTTTTTGCTTTAAAAGAACCCAGACGACTGCATTTAAAAGCTGTTTCAAATAATCCAAAACTGAAACTGGAAGGTTGTGTTCAATTAAAAATCAAATTAAATAGCATTTGGCTTTTATAACATCAGCGTTTTAATCTTTTGTGAAGAAATTTAATAGTATCTTTTGATTCTGTAGCACTGCCTTTGAGAAAATACACGCCATACATAAAAACACATAAATACTTTTAAGCTATGTGCAATTGAAATGTTTTTGTTGCTAGTGCAAAATGCATAATTTACAGAAACTTTGTATGCTCTAATACGTGGAAATTCTGTAGAAAGTGTGTCTTGGTTTGATAATTTTAGTCTCCTATTCTGAAGCATCATAATTCATGAACTTATTCCAGTTTCATCATAATTCACAAGAATCACCTGCAACATTTTGCACTGTAAAATAACCGAATAGGACCTGCAGAGTGCTTGCTTGGAAAGATATGCCAGAATTTGCTGAACTATAATTGGTTACTCTTTAAAATCAGCAAGACCATCAAGTTAACATGTGATACATGATGTCATGAGCATTTCGCTAATCATCGAAGGAATAAGTTGGTCCTATTTCCCTTGCCTCCTTTCAGTAAAATTCAGTTTTTTTTTTTTTTTTTTAATTTTTTTTTTTATTTTCTGCAGCTTATAGCTTTTCAAGGAATTTCCAGAGAAATACACAGAATCCGTAATAGTCTATGCAGATGGTTTGTCTTTTAAATAATGAAATTCTGATCTGTATTGATATATTCGAGTATAAATGCTGCCCTAATTATGTCCATCAAATAAAGGTCTTTTGAAAGGCATATTCTTTATAAAGGTTACTGAATCGTTGTTTTGCAACCACGGATAAAATTTTCCCACCGTCTGCATCAAAGCAGCTAAAAATGTCAGATTATTTCGCACTCAGAAGTTACATAAAAGTTAAAGACAAATGTGTCAATACTTTTTATTACTCATTTTAGTACTTTTAAATTTTCATGGATAAAATAATTACTCATATTTATAAATGGATAATTTGGAAGAAGAACGGAAACAGTGACATTTATGCTGAGTAATTTATGATGCACAATTATTAACATACAGTAAAATTTGAAACAAACAACCAGCACATGTAATAATTATACACAATCATGACTGTAATTAAATCTGAATATGACTCATTGCCTACATTTATTATTCACTACTTTTGATAGTTGTAGAAATGTTAGTACTTTTGTGTGTTGTGATTTATTATTCAATTTTTACATATTCCGAGTAGATAATCTATTTTTCTTAGATTAGATATAGCAAAATAAACTTTTTTCCCTTTAAAATTTGTTATAGCGGGTTCAATTGTAATAATTAAGAAAACATTCAATTAAACACTTATGGAAATCTTCTACTGAAAACAGTTTAAATAAAACAACAAAGAAAACTATATTTATTTGCATATTTAACTCTCTTTCCCTTTTCTCGCACTAATTAAACTTTTGAAAATTGGAGAGGGAGAAATTATCAAGTACATATAATTTCTGAAGGGATGGCTTAAATAAAGAACATATAGAAGATGCTAATTAATGTGATTATGTTTAATGTTATCTTTTGGAACTGCCAAATTCTGGTCGTTTTTATATAAAAACATCATATATCATAATCAACAATTCAGTTAATATGATCAAAGTATTATAGAATATTTTTTTAACTGAAGTTGAAGTCACCAAAGATAAAAATAGATTCTAAAAACTGAGAAGTGTCACAAAAAAGCATATTTAGATTTTGAATAACTCTATTGAATTTGAGAATGATTAGATACAGGTCCCTCCTTTTCAGGAACAAAAAGCGTAATCCCCCCCCGATCCTATTAATGTCAATGAACTCATTATTAGTTCATGTTACCTTCATTTTTAACATGGGTAAATCACCTTTTACTGTAATGCACAAAAGAAATGCCATTAAATGAGCCATCTTTGAAAACAAAAGTTAAAAAATCAACTTTGAAAAGAAAAGTTAAAAAATCAATCAATGATAACAAAATTTGTGAATGCTACTGATTTTCATTATATCTGCCCAGTGTCACTATATTTTCCCAGTGATTTTTTTTTAATTGACTGTCACATTAAAGAGATCTTGGTTGATAAAAGCTTAGTCAATATGGGGGCTATTTTAAATTAAAAATATGTTCCAATCATTAACAATACTTTAACCATTTAACCCAAGAGACTAGTCGATTTAAAAAGTGTCGTCAGTAGCTCTGCACGATTTTAATACTTAAAATAATATCAAAAAGCCTATGATAATCTTAAATACCCAAATAATTATGTTAATTACTTGCCAACTTGTAACACTCAAAAATCAAGAGAATTTTCTCAACGACAACTTTTTTTTTTAAATGAAAAAAATATATACAAAGAAAATATACTTTTAAATAATGCTTTAAATTGTAAATAATTAATATCTGGAATCTCAGTTACTAATCTCTAAACTCAAATAGTAAAAAAATACTTACATGTGAAAAGTACTTTTAATATTTGTTTGTTGTAACAGAAAAATAATACTTTAATCAATTTTCGTAGAAATGCTCACAACAGTGACAGATTTTGCTTTCATTAAGAAAGAAACTCTTTGGTGGTGGCCTGATTTTTCTAATAGAAGTTTTTCTAATGTGGCATTACTAATATTGTTAGTAAGAACACAGAAATCTTCTCTCACTCTGCATTTCTATGGGAAATCATCAGGATTACCAACATTACTCTACAGAGTTCGCTGTAATTTAAAATTCCATAGGCACCTTTCAATTTTCTATTTAAACTCAACCCGGTGTAAATCTTTGCTGCTTTTATAACTTCATTCAAGTTTATTTAAAGCAGGTATTTTATAACATTCAATGCAGCCTTTTATCTCAACTCTAGAAGCATTTACTTTTTCCTTAAGCTGTTCCTTTTTGAGCTGCTAGCTAAACTAAATAGATGACACATGCAGCTCATAACTCGTAAACCTGAATTTTCTTTTATAAAGATGCTTGCAACATCAGTCTTCAAGCCTACCACTACTGGTGCATTGCCAACACCAACTGTTAAGCAATTAGTGAGAAGAATTGCATATTCTTTTAAAGTTTTAATAATTAGCTGTGCTACATTAAAGCTTGTCAAATTTCCTCCTAAAATGGAAATAGAAAGTACACTAATTTCAATTTCTGAAGACTCTCGAGTAAAGTAAGAAATAACAACTGAATACAGTTTTGCCTTGGTATTATTGCTTTTATACACAGAGAGGCAGAATTCAGCTACTTTAATCAATAACTGAAGATTTATTTTTCCTACCTATTTCTTTAACAACTGCAGCCATTTTTATTCCTCCACTTGAGTATTTCTTAGTGATTTCGCTATCGGGAAAGATTTTTCTAAACAAAAATGCTGCATGATCCATTGCATTCAGTGGTAGACTCCAGAGAACTTAACTTAGACAAAGCATTGAAATTTCTTAAACTCTTTCCCTAAAGCACATGAAATTTAAACACTCGGTGTTGAGATGAACAAAATAATCTTGATCTTGCTTTGTGCTTACTGGGTGCTGTGTTACTAGTAAGCACAAAGCTCTAGATAATGGGGATCAAGCACTGCTGTGGGTCATCTGGTCCACAGCAGTGCTTGATCCCCACTGAAGAACTGGAACACAATGTCTTCAGACACGTGCTCTCACGCGCTGAGCAGAAGTGCACTACAATATCTCACTGATGAGTTGACTTTAGTTTTTCTTATATGTAATCTAGAGATAATCTAAGCACTTTCAGACACCAAAAATCACTTTTTCGGATGCAAATAATAAAGCAAAGCTACATAAAAATCATCAGAAATTTTAAGAATAAGACAAAGTCACGTGAAAATTTGTAAATCAGGTTGGCGGATGTCAGGTTGAAAATCAGGAAAGTTGGCAACTCATTTGGATTTACAGATGGTTCAAAGCTAATGATGATACTGTTTAAATTGGCAAGTCTCTCTCGAGGCAAACGGTAAAGTGATTAGTTAAGAGTTTCACTACATTTTTACATTTTAAAAATGTATATCCTTATTCAAACTTTAAACTGTATATAAGATTTTAATTAATAACCTCAATATACAGTGCATAAAACATAAATTTAAACCCCTTTATAAATTATACTAAGAAGACATTATAACTATAACATTGTAACATATAACAATGTCAAAAAAGATGTACTTACTCTGTATGTGCTAAAATTCTGCTCCGGGAGAGAAGGTGTTGCAAGATTTTGCCTGAAACTTAATGCTTGCCGATCTGTTAAGAATAGAAATATAAAATATATAAAAATGCTACTTAAATTAATTGCAGTCATTATTAAACATCACATAAATCATGTGTTAAACTTCTGGATACGTATACAACTTAATAAATATAACAAAGGAATTGCATGTATTTTGCCAGATTTATTTAATAGTATAACATTAATTTTTGTCAACAAAACCTTTTTAAAACAAATTGAATGGAGAAAATAATCTTAAAAACTACATCAGTGTGGAACATTTTTATGTGTACGATACTGAACCACATCAATTAAAAACCATTACTTTAAATCTAATAGTCTTAACACAGCCAAGAAAAAAAAAAAAAAAAAAAACTTTATGATTTCCACATTTTTTTTAGGGGAAGATACAATCTATCATTTTGTTTTATAAAACTGAGGGCAATACTCTGGAAGAAAAAGAAAGATATTGCAATACTGAAATAACATTTTTGAGGTTCTACATTACTAGGTTCTAGATCATCAAAATATCAATATCAGTTTTCATTATATTTGAGAGCAAAAATTTAGTAGCTTATTTACAAATAAAATAACCTAAAAAAATACAAAAATAGAATAAATGAAATATATACAAAACATTAAAAGTTAAGTAGATTAACACACACATGTACAAAAGAGAAAAATTTAACATCTTACTTATTACACCATCGTCAAGAAAACATATGGCACTTCTGTTGTTTTTATACACAATTTAAATTATTTTAATTTCATAAATACTTTATCAAAGAGTAATGGGGATTAATTTCAGAGCATTTTAAATAACCTTGATGTGGATAAAAACAAAATTAAGACTTTATTGTGATTAGTTAACACACATTTATGTGAATGTGGATTTTTAACACCTTGGCCTACACGATATCTGGCAATTGCGTGAGCTACAAAGTAAACAAGAAAGTCGGTTGCACGCCGTGCCATTGAACTGTTCAGCCGTGTACCCGAACTGGTGCAAAATGTATACTTTTCATGACACATATATATTTCAGTGCAACGAAAGGAATTGTGAAATAATAAACAATATTTAGGTACAAATAGTAATTCTAAGACGTCTAGAGTGTAATCATAATTAATTGATCCCCTGACAAAAATAATTGCATGATGGGTATGATGGGTATAAGAGTTTGGCATGATGGAAATAAAAATTTTTTAATTCTTTATACGAAATTATATTTGAAACGTGCGAACGTAACAAAGCTCTAAGGAAAACTAATGTAACAGATCATCCAGTTTCGTCAGAAACAACTGTAAAAAACAAAATACTGACGTTACAATGAAAGGGAAAATATTCGATGTAGAATAACTCCAATCACTTGTTCTAATAATATTATACGGCATTTTATGCACAAATTCCTCACCATGACTCAGACTCGCGGCTTTTGTTTATGACACAAATTCTTTACCATGAGTCAGACTTGTGGCTTTTGCTTATGACACAAATTCTTTACCACGAGTCAGACTCCTGGTTATAGGCCAAAGAGTTAAACATCATTAAAACTAAAGACAAAAATTGATCAATATGCTACTGAAAAATGACCCAAAATTTAAACTGTCATGTACTAAGCCAAATTTGTTTAATAAAAACATACTACATTATTTTAAATAATGCTCTGTATCTCACAAAATTTAAACTGTTATGTTTTTCTTCTGACACCAGTTGTTACATTATTTTCTTCTTTCACATTCGTACGAAGTTCGTGTGGATTTGGAGTGAATAACATTGACAGCACTTGGTGAAGTATCGAAACACATTTAATTTACCAATATTAATCAGGACAGCCTCCAAAACTCTTTTACAATCGTCGGAGATCTACTATAAACACACTGGCACAATCAGCGACACAGCCACGACACTATCAGGCTATAACAGTTGAGACAGCTTCACTGCAAAGCATCAGAGTACAGCTCCCAACTCTGCTCGGTCATTCTCGGAACTCCATGTATTCTCGAGACTCTCCACGCTATACCTCGCGATACACTCGACAACACTCAGAGCACACCTCCTGACTCTTCGGTTCAGTCGTTCCCGGAGCTCAACATGCTCTCTCGATGATGCACTAACTGTGATACACTACGAGACGCTTTTGGTGCACTCGGCACTCGCTGTCATACTTGATCCACTCCGCACGGACTAACTCGAGGCGCACTATCTCACACTTGACGAGGCACACACACTGACTGCAGACCAGCAGGGTTTATATAGCTTTCGGCTTGTGTTCGAGAACATTCTGGGCTAAACTGGTAAGAATTCGTTCCAGAAGATTCTCCAACCATTCATGGTATATCACCAAGCCATCTTATTGAGCCTGTATATTTTATATATCACCAAGCCATCTTATTGAGTCTGTATATTTTGTAACACTGCCCCCTCTCAAGGACTGCATGTCCCAGGCAGTACAACCCTTGGTCAGAAGCCTAATTCAATACAAACAAAACGTAATAAAACAAACATAAGGTATAAATAAATTGAATTCCTAGACCTGCAAATTATTAAACACAGCAAAATTAAATTATTTGATAAAAGAAGGAATTTCCATTTTCATACTATTAAACTAATTAATTGGAACTCTAATATCTCTAGAAGAGTAATAGAAAACACGTTTCACAGCCAATTAATCAGAATAAAAAATATATGTACTGAAATAGACAATTTAAAGGAAGAAATAATAAAGCTAATTAATTTAATTAATGTTCAAGTTGATAACCAAGTACCACCAAAATTTATTAATTTATATATTAAAAAGGCAGGCATTGACTTTATAATTTTTTGGCTCTTTTGGATATGATAACACTACCTTAAACCTTAGCTGGAGGGTAATGAAGGATATAGAAGAGTAAAGAAATTATCTTGTAAATTTTTATTGTAAATATTTTGTAAATATGTATATTTAATCAAAACTGGATTCTTTCCTTTTACTAATAAAGGGCCAACTCTTTTCAAAAGTCTCAATTATAGCCCGAATTGAGTGAAGATTTTAATCTTCTTCTAATTTTCCATACTTTAGCCAGTATTTAATTAAGTTTTGTTATACCAATTGAAATCAAGTTCATTAAACTTTTAATTTTTCTTTCATAAATATAACTTCCTAAATAAGTTTCTGGGAATTTTTTTAGAGGCATTTTTAGGACTTCGTTTCAAAAAATTTTGGGAAATTTTACTTTAAAACTTTAATTTTAAAACATTTCAGTTTTTCTTAATTACTTTAATTATTTGCAATTTTCACACACAAAAAAATTTTTTCACTTAACGTTTTTTACAATTTTTCAACAGAACACACATTTCACATTACAAACAGTTTACATTTTTTATTCACAATACCACTTAACTTTATTTTTCTTCAAGCAAACTTACATATCTTGATTGGCTCAGCTACTTAACTCCCTAAATAATTGATAATTACTACTTTTAGGATTTTTAATTTTTAATTTAATTTTTTTAATATTAATGTTTACAAAAAATTTTAATATAACAAAGATAGCAGCTTGACACTCAACTTTACCTACATAAGCGCCATCTATATAATTTGAAGAACACACTTACTTCTCTTTAACAACACTTTTGCAGACCCCAACACTCCTATAGTAGGTAAGTTAGAATTAAAACTTACTATTTACTTGCTTTAAGTATTTTTAAAAAAATTTTTTATGTAGTATTTAAGTATTTCTAAATATGAAATTATATTTTTAAATATATATTTTTTTTTAAAAATTGTGAATTAGTTCTTTTGTTTCTTATTGGTTTATATGGATTATGTCTAGTTCTTTTTTAGTTTCTTTTTATTGATATGCATATTTCGTGTCAGAGAGGTTTCTGTAGACAAGGGTTTATAAAATACATGGGTTTCTAGATTTTTTATTTTTTAAAAAAAATTAATTTTTTTAAAAATTTAATTTTTTTAAAAAAAATTTAATTTAATACTTAACTTTACTTGCTTGTTTCTCATAAGACTTCATTAGTATTTTCCTTTTAAAACTCTAGTTTTAAAACTTTATTCTTAAATTTAATTCTTAAATGTTAATTTCTAAGGATACCACTTTATTGGTATTTCTTTTTACTTTTGGTTTTGACTTTTACCCTTGCCTGCATGAACGACGAAACACGAATTGAATGATTGGAGAGTTAGGTTGGAGGCAACTTCCCCTTGATAAGTCTGTCTCCTGCCTACTCAACAGTCCTTCACTTATGCATTTTTAAAAAAATTGTTTAGTTTAATTTTAATTTGCTAAATTAGTGAATTTATTTTCATGGATTAGTTTTGCACTTGATTTGCTTATGCTTCTGAATTTAAATGATACTGTAGATTAGTTCGAGAATTAAATCTTTTACATGTTTGCACATTTTTTTTTTTTTTTTTTTAATTTTTTTAAAAATTATTTTGGCTTTTTTTCTTTTTTTCGGCTTTAAATTTGCTTTTTTACTTTTTTTACTTTTATAAGCGTTTGTTAAAATTTAAATTTCATTTCTTGCAGCAATGGCGCAAAGAATATTCAATTAAATTTGTATTTAAATTTAATTTTTTTAATTAAATTTAATTTATTCTTATGAAATAACTAAAGAAACAAATATTTACACTACGTATAAGTTACATACACAAAATAAACACATAACGATTTTAAATTATACAAATTAAAGTTCATAATGAATTTCAGTCTCGGTCTTTTTATTATTTATACCCGGGTCAAATACTTTTCCACTGCAGTTTCTCAGATGCATTTCTGTTTTTCATCTCATGGTCTGAAGATTCCGTCCTTTCAGACTTTTCATCCATTGGAAGATCTAAAACAGTTCGTTCACCACTCTGTGGTTTATTCGCATCATGTATACAATTCACCTTGGTATTTTCAGCAGCTGGTACATGTTCATATTCCTCCATTTCCTGGGAACCAGCTCAAAATTCTGCATCAGAATCAATAACGGAACCAGATTCTTTACAAACAGAAGCATCCTGGTTTAGAATCAAGTCCGTGTCTGCATAATCTGTATTAGGAGACACACAGTTTGTGGAGTGGGTGAATTTTCTTGCAATACTGGAGCACACTTCTTAAGCTGCACATCAACTTCTCTCATCTCTGCATCACATGCATTTTCAGATGGTTCAATACTCACTAACTGCGACTTCATAACTTCACTATCAGTTTCTACCAACTTTACTGTTGCGTTTTCACGTTCTTCATCTCTACTTGAAGCATCTGAAAATCAGGAACTTTATTTACATGAATTATTTCTTCACCTCTTTCAGAAGCTTTACAACCCACTTCGTTTATTTCTTCATCTTTACAAACAATATTATATCACTGTCTTCCAGTTCAACTTCGGACACCTGAGTATGAGACGCGTCTTTCCAGTCTTTTTCTTCATCTCTTTCTTTAGTCTCATTAGATGTTTCATCCATTATTTCCTGGTCTTTCTCAGGTAGTTCATTAGCTACTTCCTTCATTTCTTCACCCTTTGATTCTTCAGATGCCACTTCTCTCATTTCCACATCGTCTTTTATGGCTCCAGTTTCTTCTGTAAGCTCCCCTTTCACCTGTCGGAGTTGCTCTCGTGCCTTTTTTTCGCCGACATTTATTTCTGCTCATCGGGTTTTCTTCTCTTCCAGTCCGGCTTTCATCTCTTTCAGTTCGGCTTTGATCTCAGCTGTCATCTCTTTATATCCAGCTTTTATCTCATCATATACGGCTTTTATCTTGGCTAAAATGTCCATCAAACTCTTCATCTCCTCCGCCATGGCTTTCCTCTGCAGGCGGGTCACTAACATTCACTCACAAATCCCACTTCTGACACCAATTGTTACGTTTTTCTTCTGACACCAGTTGTTACATTATTTTCTTTTTTCACGTTCGTATGGATTTGGAGTGAATAACAACAATAGCACTTGGTGAAGTATTGAAACACACTTTATTTACCAATATTAATCACGACAGCCTCCAAAACTCTTTTACAGTCGTCAGAGATATACTATAAACACGCTGGCACAATCAGCGACACAGCCATGACACACACTAACAGGCTATAACTGTTGAGACAGCTTCACTGCAAAGGATCAGAGTACAGCTCCCGAATCTGCTCGGTCGTTCTCGGAACTCCACGTACTCTTGAGACTCTCCACGCTATAACTTGCGATACACTCAATGACACACAGAGAACAGCTCCCGTCTCTTCGGTTCAGTCATTCCCGGAACTCAACACGCTCTCTCAATGATGCACTACGCGATACACTAGGAGACAATTTCGGTGCACTCGACGACCCACTCGGCACTCGCTGTAAACTTGATCGACTCCGCACGGACTAACTCGAGGCACACTATCTTGCAATTGACGAGGCACTCTCCGACTCACCCTCTCGACAAGGCGCACACACTAACTGCAGACCAACAGAGTTTATATAGCTTTCAGCTTGTGTTCGAGAACATTCTGGGCTAAACCAGTAAGAATTCGTTCCAGAAGATTCTCTAACCATCCATGGTATATCGCCAATTCTGATGCCAAATGGGCGATTTCTCGCCAAATGTGGCAACCCGACCTTCAATTGTTATTTTATGGCAACCCTAAAACTGCTTTGCAGGGAAGCCATCTTATTCAGCCTGTACATTTCGTAATAAAACTAAGTTTTGAATTGAGAAATAGTGTAATTTGAATCAGTTTCTAGTTTGTAATTTATATAAAAAAGCCTTGAGCCACAATTGGATAACTACAGCCTTTTGAACATTTCAGTAAACTTTGTAAAACTGTATAACATTTTTAAATACTTAATTTTAAATGATAAACACTTGTTCGTTAACATTTTTATATTAAAAATATATTTAAGCATCTCAAACATTTCCACTTCTTATTTCAAGAGTAAGAAGTCATATATTTTAATAAATTTAAATAAATTGTTTAAATACCATTTAAAGATCCATTTCTAAAATCCGTAGCTGCCTCATTTAGCCTGAAACGTCTGAAAAAAAAAAAACAATAAAATTAAAACACAAAATTGATCACAAATATTTAAGCATCAAATGAAATACTTTTAGATCACAGTAAATCAAAATTAAGTAAAAAGCAACCTTAGAAAGGCACAGATCTTGAATGAAACTTTACTGCTTTTAAGGGCCAAAAAAAAAGGAAGAGAGAGAGAAGGAGAAAATTTATACAAATAATTAATGGGCAGAGTAAAGAAAAAGTGTCATAGGTTTAAAGAAACAGTAATTAAATATTTATTAAAATACTAAGCTATTAGAATTTTGAAAGCACTGGCAAGAACTGGATTGAAATTAACACTGCTACAAGTCATTTTTTTTTTAAATGTGAAAGGCTTCAGAGATGTGAAGAAGTTTTGCTGGTATTTTTTGCAAAATCAAATTCAAAACTATGGTTCAATTACCAACTACAATTAGCTATCAAAGATTTGTTTATTTCTTCCATTTGGACAAACAGATACTGCAGATCATGTTCTTTGATGTGAAATTTTAATGTTGTTTTAGTTTGGCCAAAGTATGTCTAACAGCACTGACAAAAAATGTTATAAATACCCCTAGAATTAAAATCAAAGATGGGATCTTTAAGAATTGAACAAGAAGAAAGAATTATCAAACGAGTACTTATTTAGGAAAAGTATATAGTACAATAAAATTATTATTTCTTAGGCTAATCACATTTTGTCTATCAAAAATCTTACATGCTATGAAATATATACTTATGAAATACTTTTTCAAATATTTACATTTATTATTAATTATGAACAAAGATTATAATTTCTATAATCTTTATTCTTCTTGGTTTATTTATGCTGATAGGTAATTTATATATCTATAAAGCTAGTATCTAGCATACTAGCATCACTAAATTTGAAACTTGTACACACATTCTCAACAATGAAATGGACCCTGTAGAGCTATCTAGTACTGAAATAGTGAACACTAAGGCAATTTTTTATCTCATGCAAATCGAAGGAACTTGATAACTCTGCTCAAATTGCAGCAAACATACATGGAGAGTTAGTAAAACTAATAACTTATTAAAATACACAAAACAAACTAAAATTACACATATGTAAGTTATTAGGTAAAAGCTGACAACTATCAATGTACAAATTGCAAAACAGCATAGCGACATGAATCTTTTTTAAGTTAAAAAAAAAAAAAAAGCAGAAAAAAAGGAACATATGATAAATTATATTATTTCAAAAGTTACTTTTATTTATTTTAGGGGCAAACTAAACCAACATTTCATTACAGATTACATTCACACATTACTGCTATTGACAATCCAATAACAGTATTCTCTACAAAACACTTGAGCTTAGACATACTTTACTTTTAATTGCCAAAAATAATTCTTTGCCACTTGCCATCTGACGATAAAAATATTCAACATATTCTTAAAGAAATTATTAAGAAATAAAAATACCTTCTTAATCACTAACATATTTTGGAGGACTTCATAATATAGTGTGTTTAAACTGTCACCATCCTTCATAATTGTTTTAGAATTTTATTTCACTAATCAATTTAAAGGAAAATATATATTTTCATTAAGCATGATTTGTAAATCATCTTGCTTTTTTAAGTGTTCTCATTTATGCAATTTTGTTGAAACAAGTCAAAAAATTAAATGCATTAAAATTGCTTCTCAAAAAGACAAATCATTGATTTCCCACATAAGATCTGACTTAATGCTTTCATTGAATCATTTATTTGAAACAGTAACTAAATTGCTACTTCAGTGCATACTGATATCATGCATTTCTTGCATGGTGATATAATGTCTTCATTCTTCATCTTGTTCTTTATTATCCTCACATATTATTTTCAAATTATTAAACATTTTGAGAAATTTAATAAGCTGTTTTTTTCTGTCTCAAAGTTAAACCATTTTTCTTTTCCTTACTTACAAATGCAGTAAATGTTTTCTTACCTCCACTAGTATACCTGAGAGTCTAGAGACTGTAGTTAAAGTTCCATTGTTAACACACATGTGAAGATAATTGATAACATCAACTCTTTGGATATGCCAGTATTTAGTACTAACTGCATGATATCTACATTGCAACTCTTAAGAGTTGACATCCACTACAAGGATAATATGTTTCCAGACTGTTTACAAGGAACTTTACTTTTAACAACACAGTTTGTACGTCAGACATTAAGCAGTTTCCTTCCTATGTATAAATAGTGTAAACTTACAGTGAAATATGAAGATAATAAACAGATTTTAAATCAGTGGGGTAATTTTACTTTCAATGATAATTCAAATTCAGTCTAAAGATCAAACCTGGGTGTATCTTATATGGAAAGAATGAAAAAACTTATGGAAAGAAACTAATCTGAAGAATGTGTAGTAGAGATCGGCATAATAATGAACAAGCATACAGGCTCGTCTTTGCAAAAGGTTATATTATGCATGAGAGAGTACACTAAAACTTTATATTCAACTTTCTTGAGATTCAGTGGGATGATAGATCATATTCACAATGATCAACAAGTGAACACAGTTTATCTTTGCATGAGAAGAGACACATAAATGACATCCTGGAATCTCATATTTGGCAACTTTTAAATTCATAGGGCTAGGATTCATATTCATAAATTAAAATTACACAAGTTCTATCAACAGGAGGCCCAGCCAAGATCATAAAAGAATGATAATACCTGTACAGGAGTCATACATGATATAAAACACATAATGTCATAAAAAGACTGACTCGAGAGAGCCTCACAGCTGCATTTGGAACAACAATTTCGAGGCAAACAGTAAAACTACAGACAGACACCTATCAAGTCCTTTAATTTCAGCAACCAGTGATATGGGTTCAACTCCTACCACTGAAAGAGGTTCATGAAAGAGAGCTAACCGTTGCATAGCCAGGCACACAAATCTTGGATGCAGCAATATTGAGGTCATGTCCCCTTCAGCAATAAGTTAGAATTCACACAAGAGAGATTTTCTAAAAATATTTCATTTCTGTTCATTTACCTGAAAACAGCTCAGGGCCTGCTATCATCTCTCTCTAGCTATCTGAGAAATCAGCCACCTTGATAGATGTAGAATTCTCGTGTGGAGGTATCAAGTTGGATTGTTGGACACAAATGGACATCAAGTTGACCGTACACCACTGCATGTCTTGTTGCAGGTCCAGAGATCATACAGTATTTTAAAGAAGAGGTTCGCAAATCCTATTATCTAAGCAGCTGTTAAACAAGGCTTTATATTTTTTGGAGGTTAATGCCAGTTTATACAGAACCCGACTACTTGATGATTTCTGGAGGCAGAGAGTATTTGCCAAATGGTGTGTGTAGGAAAGCTGTCATACTTAAATATTATAGTATATTTAGTATATACTCTAGGAAGAGACATTATATGATGTCAACACAGTTCTGGGACCTTCCATGTATAAAAGTCCTTGCTTTTACAAGAATGGGACTCATTGCCATGTTTTGATCAACAATCTCATGAGAGCTCATTATGAAGCACAGAGAGCTAAGTGTAATACCTAAATTCTAGACTATTCTGGAAATACAAGTTGTCATCTTTTAAATTACACAATACAAAACATTTATCCTTTAAACAAAACAGAAATGAGTTTTACTTAAAATTGACTTGGCATATATGTAGCATTTGTAATCATAATTCTGGACACCAGTACACACACACACATACATACATTGTATACTATACGGTGAAAACTTCCTAAGATAACCACCTATTTCCACATGACTTTGGTGTGTGGAAGTGGTTGCTGTCACAGAGGTGATGTTCGATATGCCAGCATTTGCTTATGTTCTAAGATAGTTTGATTACTAAATATGGCCAACTATAGTGGGTGGATATCAGAGAGTATATGTCGATCTACCTGGTTAAGCAGCCCCTTTTTTTTAACTTCAAGCATCAGATAGCCTGGCCTTGCACATATGTGAAGATTCTATTGTGCATGTAGATTTTCTGCAATCCCATTTTAAACTACATGGATTGCGCTTAAGTATAATGTGAGCCAGATGCACCCATCAGATTCTAAGAAGGCTGTACAAGCATAGCAGCTTGATAAAAACCTAGCTCATCTAGTGCTATTTCCCTCACAGTAATTATATATAACAAAATGCAAGTTACATCTTTTATTAAATTTTATTGAAAGTAACACTTAATAAAAGTATGAAAAATCTTAAGGAAATAATAATAAGTGACAGGAATCAAAGTGATTAAATTTGCAGGAATATAGGTACAACGATTAACGAAAATCTTTAACAGGGCTACATTTTAGTTAAAAAAATAAGCACCTACAAGCACTTTTCAAGCACATTTTAAGAAAAAAAATAAGCACCTGTCTAATTACATTATACACAACTGCATAACCTTAAAAATTAGACTTGTAATTTAAAATATGAGAAATGCAGTATTTATTAAGATAGAATAAGCATTACCTCAACCATGGCAAATAATTTTTTTTTTTTTTTTTTTTTTTTTTTTTTAATTTTAAATAACAGTTCAATTTACAGAACTAGTTTACAATGAGAGGGAAAAAAAAAAAAAAAAAAAAAAACTATGCAGAGAACAAACTATATTACAAGATTTAATGATGAAATTTTCAATTCAAAATAGAGAAATAAATAATAATATGGCATATTTATTGTATTTACTTGGAACCTAATAATAAATATAATTTATTTCTCCACTCATATTGATATTTAAATAATTTAAATCTAAATTCTGAACATTTTCTAAATTTCCATTGTATATCAGTTTTCCCTTAACAGATATTGCAAGCAAAGAAATTTAAGTAAAAAAGAGGAACATTTCTGAAATCAGAAGACAGAAATTTGCTTCAAGCAGTCATCCTTTAAGAGTAAAAGCTTAACTAACCCGCATACTTGGAAATTAGCGAATATTCGGATAGTCGAGCGTAACTTGAAAAAGAGGAGCGGAGGAGGGGGGAAGTAGACTGTAGTCGCTCGTTAAATTTTTCCACTAAATAAATGCTTTTGACATTTCGATATGCGCATCATATAAAAATAAACCAATGAAACTGAAAAATATTCTGCTTAGCAAGCACAGTAAAACTCTTTTAAGTGTTCATAAACAAATCTCGGACAGAACATCAAAATTAATTATCTCTGCAAAATATCGCAAGCGTTATTGCACAATACGTACGCCGTAATTCTTCCCTACGTGATATTACGCAATCGGAATCAACAGCTGCCGGTATTGGGAGAATAAAGAACTAAATAACTGGGGTGTTTTTCATTCTAATTTTCAACAGACGGCGTTAAATTTCTGGAATAGAATCATTCTTCGCTTGGGTTGGTAGACCGCAGAACTTTTAGTCCTATTCAATCCAGATTGGAAAGTGACAAAAAAAGTCCGTTGCTTGTTTTGCAGCGAACTGTAACAGTTTCAATATTCGAGATTTTGCGGAGAAAGGGGAGAACCTCCCAATCTTCGTACTGTATAATGTATTGGCCAAAAAAACAAAATCATTTTGACTACTCGATTACTTTCCCTTTATATAAGCCATTCCAAATACAGTCAAAAGTCGTTAATCCGGACTCGTCGGGACTTCGGCGATTCCAGATTATCGATTTTTCCGGATTATAGATCATCAGTTTAAATCTGGTAAGATGGCATGCAGAAATTACAAAATTAAAAATATGAAACCGTAATTTATGAAATAAAGAACAATTATGATCTAAAGGGTATCAAAATTTACAAAAAGAAAAAGCTTAATATTATTTTGTTTACTTTATTAAACATTTCCTTCAATGTAAGTTGCTTCGTTTCATGTGATAATACTTTCTCTTTAATTCTATTAAACAGACATAATTTCTTGTTTAGTTACAAAGTTCCGCTGTTCAAGTCCTATATTGCTGTGTTGAGAATACCGACTAATTTGTCAATCGAAATGTTTTCATTTTCAGTAACCTCTGGGTCACTTTCTTCACTATCGGAAGCGAATTATAATGACGAGGAACTTGATTTTAATCATATCAAAGATGGAGTACATCGAGATGAAATACTACACTTAGTGCGGAATTATAAACCAAATAAAATAAAAACATCTGCCCTGAAGATAAGGATAGTGCTGAGAGATCAACTTCCAATCCGCAGCGTGAAATTGATAAACAAATTTCGGATTTCAAAACGTACTTTCGCTTTGTAGATACAAATTACATATTAGTAAATATATATCGGAAATTCTATTTGACATAATCTTTCTAATCTATCATAATCTAATAATGACATTTCTGCCCCCCCCCTCTGCCGCAGAGCAGCGTGAAATTGATAAACAGATTTCGGATTTCAAAACATACTTTCGCTTTGTAGTAAATATATATCGGAAATTCTATTTGACATAATCGAAAGTTCAAGCTTACTTTTATAAAATTGCTCTAACAGTCCTGCAAAAAAATAAAAGATTCGGAATTCGAAGATTAAGGAACAACGCAATCTGCACTGCACATTTTACTGAATAAACATTAGCTTAAGCGTACTTAACTCCGTTACACAACGCATAACGAAAACGCAATCCGCACAAACATATTCGCAGCCGTAAGGGTCTTACGCGCTCTCGTAAACGCCTGTGCGCATGCGTGAACGCGGCGCATGCGCAGAAAGTTTGTAGCTTTGAGGTACGGATTATAGATCATTCCGGATAACGACTTTTGACTGTATTATTACCTTAGAAAGCTAATCTGTGTTAAAACACAACCATTTTTGAAAGTTTACTATACTTCAGCATTTACTGCAAATACGTTATTATAAACATTCATACATATGTTCATAATATAAGCATAACGATCATAATAAACACGAATATGAACTGACCAAGTGGAACGAAAATGCAAATTATTAAGATCTTGATAGAAATTCAAACGTGTGAAGTATTTAGGTGGGAGGAAAAGAATGCCGAATGTACCGGAATTTTCTACTGCTTTCGCATTTCTTTGACCAATAGAACGACGGGCACCTGTCTGTACTCTTCGTGCACACCAAAGGTTATGTTAATGCAGAGAAAGGAGAAAAGCTATTTCCGGGAGTATGATTCACCATCTGACATTCCATATTTGGAAGAAAAGTTGTTTATTTAGTTTCGGCTTTGGTACCAGGAAAAACAGCGCGTTCATTAAAAAAAAAAAAAAAAAAAAAAAAAAGGCACTAAAAGCGAAAAATAAGCACTAAAAACAAAAAATAAGGGCTTTTAAGAAAAAGTAAGCACCTATAAGGGCCTTTATATTTTATTTTCAAATATAAGGACTTATAAGCACTTATAAGGACCGCTACGAACCCTGTTTAAACATGAGACTTTCAACAGGACTGAAAATAATGAGAAAAATGTGTCTTTAAATGTCTTTCACTGTTGAATTAGATTTTATAAGATGTTTCACAAACAAATAGAAAACTCACAGTTCTGGTAAATAAACCCAATTCTAAATCCTCTTTATTACAGTTCCTATAAGTTTCTTTTACGTTCATCTGATTTATCAAAGGATGTGATAAAAGATGTTGCATACTGCAATAAACCAGCAATACTGGCAAATAACCTTAAAGAAGAAATTAACATTGCCTGCTGAAGACGCTTTTTCTTCAGGTTACAACAAAATTCCAATAATCCACATATATATAATGGGCATATATGGTATTTCAGCTGCTTAGCAATGTTAAAACATGATTTTTAATATGCATATCAAGATTATTTTATTTTAAGCTATAAAATATATTAAGTTTGAAATCAGTATCAGACAGATTCTCTACAAAGTTGAACTTACTACCTGAAAAGCTCTTGACAAATAAATTTCTAGCCATATAAACTCAAAAGGAATTTTAAGACAACAGAATATATTGTATTTCCTTTGTATAAGATACTTCCATGTGTAAGATACCATTTGATTTGGGGATTCAAAAATTTAAAAAAATACAGAATTTTGGTTGACGAACTAGTTTTTATTAGCTGCCAGGACTGAAATTTAACAGAGCAAAATATTACATAAAGTTACTGAAATCAATTCTTGTTCACAATACAACTCATTATCACTGTCAAAATTCCCATTCATTTGGCTGGACCTCATCTGCGTCTGATGATGAATCACTGTTTTTACATACTGCCTCATCCTCATTTTCATCTGTAGAATTTGAGATGGCACACTTCTTAAAAGACTTGAGAACAATCTCAATCTTGATATTATCCCAGGATTTTGTTAGGCTTTTTTACGCATCATCACCCATTCATTCCATTCCTCTCTCATGGCAGTTTTGAAGGGTTTGTTAATGCTAATGTCAAGAGGTTGAAGCTAGGATGTCAAGCCTTTAGATATGATGGTGTTTTTTTTTTTTTTTTTTTTTTTTTTTCATTGGTCTGCAGTAATGTTTTTTTCTCTTAGCTGTTATGTGTTCCCAGAACTGATTAAGCACCAACAAAGCAAGTGTGCATAAACAGTCTACCAGATCTTCAGCTCCAAACTTTCTCAAACTATATCTTTATCCCCTCCTGACCCATCCAATCCTTCTCATAAACATGGATAATCACTGCTCAAGAAACAACTTCTTTTGGCATTGTTTTGCATTTGAAAACCAGCATGAGTGCCAGCTTAATACCATCAGCACAAGCTAGAATAACTGGTAAAGGCTATTTTCATGTTCACTTGTTTTTCACAGTCTGCTATTGTCACCACATGCTGCCAACAATGTTGGAGGCTTGCCACACCATGTGTGAATCTGTTGGCGCACAGCATTAGCAACGTCCTCTCGTGTTGCAAACCACCTACCAAGTATTGGTTCCTTAATCTCGGGAATGAGATTTAAGTCACAAGGCGAGAGGTCAGGAGAGTACAATGGGTGTTCCAATTCTTCCTATCCCCAACGTCGGAGTAGCTGTCATACACACTCTGCTTTATGTGGTCTTGCATTGTCGTGCAGAATTATTGCACTGTCCGCAAGATCCGGACGTTTATTCCGAACGCCACGTCGTACTTGTCACACCAGAGTCCCTGTAGTACTGTGCAGTCACTGTTCTGCCATGAGAAACAAAGAGGCAAACAATGACATCCCTGATGTCATACGTGACGATCAACATCAACTTGACTGGGGAAGGATTTTGATGCTAGCTCATCATGCAATATCTTGTGGATGGTGCCTTACTCGATGGCACTTGCCCTCTAACTCCAGTAATGCCCATCGTCTGTCTTCATCCCTGAGGTGGTCGATGACAGCATGTGCCAAGTCAGTCCGCACACTCACCGGTCGTCCCGAACGTTGCTCATCACTGGTTGACACATGTCCTTGCCGAAACTTTCCTACCCACCGTGCACGATATGGTAGGGCATTATTCCCAAGGGCTTCTACTAATTCACTGTGACATTCCATCACATTTCTCCCTCAGAGAACGGTTATTTTGATATAAACGCGCTGCTCAACACGGGTTACTTGCATCTCGCATGGCACTCACCCACTGACTGATTCAGGGGCTTCGCTACCACAAAGCTATCTGTTGTTCTACATACACACTATGCCTGCAGAACTTCCACACGACACATATACGTTTTGTGATTCCTTCACATATCTAGAAGAAAAAAAATAGTTGCCATGACTTTTGCCCTAACCCTCGTAGATTTAGTGAAATGGCACTGCTGATGCATATGAAGAAAATGCAATATAATTTCAATAATAAACTGAATTTATTCCTTTAAAATATATTATAAACAAAGCATATTTTCATTAAGAAGTTTATTTGCATTTACATACAAGAAAAAAAAGACCTAAATTTTATTTTAAATCTAAAAACAAAGCACAAATTGTCAGAATTCTTCTAATTTCTATGTATTAAAAGAATCACAAAAAACCACAGAAGAAAGAGAATGAGTGCATATGCAGCCACAAAACACCCTTAAATTTTATAGGATTCTTTTAATTTTCATAAAAAATAAGAGAAGCAAATTTATAAATTCAAATAAGCAGAATACTTACTTGCTCCTTGACACATCATCAAATGAACCATGTAATATATGTAATTTATGCCCTTTGTTATCTATTGTAGATTTCCATTGCGGCATCTCGTAAGTATTTGGAACAAAATTACGTTTTATAGCGCAGGAGTCTACTTTGTTATGAAATATAGAAGTCCTAATATTTGTTTGTGGTGGAGGCAAAATATTCTTTTCACATATTTTACCTCTGCTGTTAGAGTAATGATTTTCAGTCTCATTTTGATCAGAATCGCTTTCACTTTCACTTTTGTCAGAGTCACTTTTCTCACTTTCTGAAACAGAACTGCTGTTATCATCATCATTGCTATGTTCATTATCTTCACTCTCAGATTCATCTGAATTATCACTGCATTCATTCTCAGATTCACTGAGTTCATCATGTCCATTTGATTCTTTTGTTCTCCTTGATCGGAAGCCATTTTCGAGCAGTTCCGCACGTCTCGCATAACGAGCTTGGCGTAGTTCGGCACGTTTAGCACGTTCTAAAATTGAAAAGTATAAAAATAAAAACTGGACACTTTTACATTTAAATTAATTTAAAATTAAGACAAACACCATTAGCTTTATAGGAACGCCTTTATAAACTAAGACAAAAACAAGATTTAACACAAAGAGAAAACAAGACTTAAAATTTGTAATTAATTATAAGTGAGAAAGTAATTTCATGGAGATGTGAAAAGGCAAAATCTGTAAAATGGCTGCTGGTAAATAGTGAAATTTTTGGCACTAACAGTTTGGTAAAACCTTTTGTGGCTGAAGGTTTATACAAACATTTCAAAACACGAAAAGTGTGCCTGAAAGGAACCTAAATTAAAACTTTCATATAGTCACACACTAAACATATATGCATTTTAACTAGTTATTCAAAATAACTGGTATTTTAACTGACTATTAATTTACGAATATATTTTAACTAATTATTAATATTTATAAACCAATCTAATTCTGAAAATGCTTTCAGTACCATTATATTCAATCAAAATTTACTAAGATCACTTAAGTAGATAGATTACATGCCTTTAATTGTAGTAATACACATTTTTTCCCCTAAATTTAGAAAATCATTTAACATCAGAATCTTTTATTGGTATGGAACTTTGAGAAATGTTTTTCCCCCCCCCTTCATCTCAAATTCCAAAAAGTCCAAAGTCTAGGTTTGAATTTTGGACGAAGATAACTTTTCAGACTATTTTTGCACAAATTTTTGTGGAAAGCAGTATTAAAGTAATTTTAGAGAGAGAAGACTTAATAAATGAAATATATTAAAAAGTATTAAAATGAAAAATTTAAAATTTAAAAACAGTGAAACAAATCTAAAATTTGGAGACCTTTTCTATATCCATTAAAATAATCAGTATTCATAAAACCGGAGAAAAGTCTACAATTCATCAAAATTATCATGAAAATTTTATTACACAGCTATTCATTACACAATTTTACAATAATTTTCCCATGGCAATAAAACCCACTACTAAAAGTGTTATCTCATGCTTCTTTATAGACTGTTCCAAGCAGAATAAAATTTTTAAGTTAAGCAGACACACAAATGTCTCAAAAGTAAATGTAAGCTCAAATACATAACTTTTTAAAAACAAATTATGAGAAACTTTTGTAATGGATTTTTAAAAAAATCACAAATGCCTAAAAATAAAATTGCTACATCAATGAATTGTGAGAAGAGCAGTAATTTTAACATGGCCCAAAAAAAAAAGCAATTTTGGAGGATGGTCACTGTTTATGTGAGTATCGTTTGCTTCATTTTATTGTTGCAAACAGCGTAAATTCCTTTTGTTTTTCTTCCTTTAGTTTTCAACTTTATGTGTGACAAGATAATTGATTGATACAATTGTGTTTGTGACAGCCATGTAGAATGGCTCGCTTATTTTGTATCAATTATTTCGCATCGCTGACATATTATTTATAATTAGTATAATGAAATAAAAGTGTAGGAATACAGTCCATTTGTTGATTGATTATAGTTTGTGAAACATATTAAGTTAAAGACCAATTATTGTTGGTCAAAAGTCTAGCCGGAGAGCTAGTGAAGATAGTGACAAAGTTTCTAAGTGTATTCTAACAACGCAAATAGATAGTTCTAAGTGTATTCTAACAATGCAAATATGCATACGGTTGGTGAAAAATTACTCCAATTTGTGAGGTAAGTGGAATTTGAACAAAAATTCGTTTAATTTGTTGTTAAATTTTAAGAACAATGTTGTAATACAACATAGAATTTGATTTCATTTTAATAATAGTGTTAAGTGATTTAAGAACAATTTCTGTTTTTGAATTGATCAATTATGAGTGAACTTATAACTTTTAAAACAAAAAGAGCAGTCTTACGCAGGAGTGTTTCTAATTATGTAAAGAAAATTGAAACTATTTTAACTGCAGATGAAATTAATTTAATAGAACTACAGGAATGTGTCAAGAAACTGAGTTAAGGAAGCTTGATTCTGAAATCGAAAGTTTAATTACAGATACTAAAGAATTAGAAAACAAAATAGATAATGTTTAGGAGTACACAGATAAAATTTATTTGTGGAAATTTAAAGGTGAAAAAATATTAAAAAATCAAAATAATAAAAATAATTCTAATAGTGTAATTTCAGAACAGGTTCTTGACAATATTAAATTACCCAAGTTAACATTACCGACTTTTGGTGGTAATATTACAGAATGGATAGCTTTTAAAGATCTTTTCAGTGCTTGTGTAAGAAATAATACAAATTTATCTAATGCTCAAAAATTGCAGTATTTGAAGGCTTCGTTGAAAGGTGAAGCATATCGCATTATTCAAACCATTCAAATTTCGGATTGTAATTTTGAAATAGCATGGAATCTGTTAGACGAAAGATATTCAAATATAGAGAACAAATTTTTGCATATATTAAACGTTTTTCTAAGTTTACCAACTATTCAAAATGAATCAGCATTTGCTATTTTAAATTTAGTTGACAATATTAATGAAGTAATTCGTTCTTTAGAAGTATTGAATCAAACCATTGATAATTTTGGTGACACTTTAATGACTTATTTAATTTTGCAAAAATTAGACCCTTGCTACAAAATTATGGTGGGAACGTCAGTTAAAATCTAATGAAATTCCAAAACTTACGACTTTAATTGAATTCCTAAAAAACTATGCAAGAACACTTCAAAATAGCAAATCAACAAGTAATAAGGTACCTAAATCTGTGTTTCAAAATAAGAATAATGTTCTGGTTGCTACTTTGGGTTGTGGTTATTGTAAAGAAGATCATAGTTTAGCCAAATGTTCGAAATTTCTAAATTTATCGGTTCAGCAAAGGATAGAATTTGTAAAATCTAATCGTTACTGTTTTAATTGTTTATCTAATATGCACTTGCTCAAAAAATGCAAGAGTTTAAATACATGTCAACATTGCTTTAAGAAGCATCACAGTATTTTGCACATTGTAAATAATTCAAAGAATAAAACTCAGTTAAACAGTATATCTCCGCCTACGCAATCTATATCCCTAAAAGAGATGAATTAACGAGTCCTAAGGACGTTTCAGCCACAGTTTGTGCCTCTCATTATGATTCGAATGCAAAAGGTAATCAAACCAGTCACATTTTATTGTGTACTGCTTTAATAAAAGTTCAAAATTCTGAAGCAACAATTTGTGAAGTGTAGATGTTTATGTGACACTGGATCTCAGAGATCATTTATTTCAAGGGATTGTGTGAAGAAATTAGGATTACGAGTGAAAGATAATTCCATTTCTGTATCATGTTTAGGAGAATTTAATACTATAAGTAATGGGGAAGTCGATTTAGTATTCACTTCTCATTTTAAAAGTGATATTCGTGTATCAACATCAGCGTTTGTACTGGACAAGGTGACAGATAACATTCCCTATGTATCTTTGCCATCCATCAATCATCTTCGATAACTTCAGTGATTTACAATTAGCTGATCCATTATTTTACAAGTCACAACCAGTTGACATTTTATTTGGAGTAAATGTATTTCTGCATTTAATGACGGGAGAAATTGTCAAACGTGGTCCTGATCTACCATTTGCTCTAAATTCGAGGTTGGGATGGATAATTTCGGGTACTACAAATTTTGAATCTACAAATTTTGAGCCAGTATATGTAAATCATTTGAATACAAACACAGATGAGTTAGTAAATTCTTTCTGGGAGTTAGAAAAGTTTCCAAATGTACAACCTTTAACAAATGAAGAAAAACTTTGTGAAGAACATTTTAAAAACTCGCATTTTAGAGACACATCAGGTCGTTATTCAGTTGCATTACCATTCAAACATAATAGAGATATTCTAGGTGACTCCCGTGAAGTGGCGTACAGAAGATTTCAATACTTGGAGAAGAGGCTGTTATCTATGAAAGAAATTTACAACCAGTATATTCAGTTTATGAAAGAGTACTTTTCACTAGAACACGTAGAATTAGTGCCAGACACAGATTATGAATTAGAGAATAAACACTATTATATCCCACATCACTTCGTGTGTTGAAGGACTCTAGCTTAACAACAAAATTGAGAGTTGTTTTCGATGCGAGCGCTAAAACAACCACAGGTGTTTCTTTAAATGATACACTAATGATAGGCCCAAAAATACAAGATGACTTAATTTGTATTTTACTAAGATTTAGACTTCATAACATTGCAATAACCGCTGATATTAAAATGATGTACAGACAGATAAAGGTTCATGAAAAAGATAGAGATTTTCAGAGAATATTATGGAGAGATAGCCCGTATAAAGCAAATACAAGTTTGTCGTTTGAAAACAGTTACATATGGAACTGCAGCTGCTCCATATCTTGCAACCAAAGTTTTGAGTCAGTTAGCGATTGATGAAGGATTGAACTTTCCAAAGGCAAAGAATATAGTTTTAAGAGATTTTTATGTTGATGATATGTTAACTGGTGTAAAAGATAGTTCGGAAGGTATTGCATTGATAGACGAATTGCAACATCTGCTAAAAAGTGGTGGCTTTGAGCTTCACAAATGGTCGACAAGTGAACCGTCATTGTTAAAAACCTCTGGCTTAACAAACACAGATAGTGACAATATTCATCGTGTAATAGAAGACAAACCATTGAAAGTTCTGGGATTGGAATGGCATCCGGACAATGATGAATTCAAATGTAATGTCGGTGTAATAGAGTATCAAAGTGTTCCGACTAAAAGAATTATTTTGTCATTCGTAGCAAAACTATTCGATCCATTGGGGTGGATAGCTCCGTTTGTAATTCTCGCTAAAATGATCCTTCAGCAATTGTGGAAATTACAGTTATCATGGGATGATCCTGTAACAGAAGAGATTGATCGAAATTGGAGAAATCTATGTAGAGAAGTTAAACTTTTGAATTCTATAAATATACCTAGGAAAATTCTGCTACCTGATTATTTTCGATGTGAACTTCACGGATTTTGTGATGCGTCTGAAAGAGGTTATGCAGCAGTTATTTATATCAAAACTTGCAATAACTCTGACATTAATGTTAAACTCGTAACAGCTAAAACTCGTGTAGCACCATTAAAATCTATTACGATTCCAAGACTGGAATTATGTGCAGCAGTGTTATTGGCACGCTTGATTCAGTCTGTAAAAGCTGCATTAGTTATAAATTTTGATTTAGTGCAAGCTTGGAGTGATTCACAAATCGTGTTGTCATGGCTAAGGTCAGATCCTAAAAAATGGCAAGTATTCGTATCCAATAGAGTTTCTGAAATACAATCCATCTTACCACCTGAGAACTGGAGTCATGTTGATGGAAAGGAAAATCCAGCTGATTGTGCTTCACGTGGATTATTTCCTGCAGAACTATTATCTCATCAATTGTGGTGGAATGGTCCTTCTTGGTTAAAGTGCAGTGAGATTGCCTTGTCTAAAAATATTCTTATAGATGAAGAGGCATTACCAGATGCACGTAAAACAGTCTCATTTGTAGTTTCTGAACCTGTACAGGAACTTGCTATTATATCAAATATATCTTCATTTCCAAAGTTACAACGCATATTTGCTTGGATATTAAGATTCATATCGAATTCTAAAGTAGCATATCTAGAAAGAAATACGTCTTTTTTATCTAGTAATGAAATTCGAGCTGCAACTTTCTGTATTGTCCGAATAATACAGCGATTTCACTTTTTTAAAGAAATTCAATGTTTGGAGTTGGGAAAGGACTTACCTACAAACAGCAACCTCCTTAGCTTGTGTCCAATTTTAGATGACAACAAAGTGTTACGTGTAGGAGGAAGACTGAAAAATGCGCAACTATCAGAAAATGAAAAACATCCAATCTTATTACCTTCAAAACACAATCTGACAGAAATCATAATTAGACACTTTCATGTCAAATATCTGCATGCAGCACCGGAACTTCTTCTATCTTTAATTAGACAGCAATTTTGGATCATAGCTGCTAGATCTGCTATCCGAAAAGTAGTAAGATCTTGTATCACGTGTTGCAAACTTAGAGCTAAAACTGCAAGTCAAATAATGGCTGATCTACCGGAATCTAGAGTAACACAATCGCGACCATTTCATCGAACTGGAATAGATTTTTCTGGACCGTTCATGATTAAACATCGTGCAGGACGTGGACAAAAATCATTTAAATATTACGTATGCTTATTTGTGTGTTTTTGTAATCAAGGCAGTACATCTTGAAGTGGTAGAAGATTTGTCAACAAAGGCATTTTTAAGTGCATTGAAACGATTTATTGCAAGAAGAGGGAAACCATTTGAGATTTATAGTGACTGCGGTACTAACTTTAAAGGTGCAGACAAAGAAATCAGAAAATGTTTTTTTGCAATGTAAGCAAAATCAAGAAATTCACAAATTTTTGTCTTTAGAGGAAATAAAATGGATATTCAACCCGCCATCATCTCCCCATTTTGGTGGACTATGGGAATCGGCAGTAAAGTCAATGAAATTACATCTAAAAAGGACTGTTGGTGATACTGTGCTGACCTATCCGGAATTTCAGACCTTGATAGCGCAGGTTGAGGCTTGTCTCAACTCTAGGCCATTGTGTCCAACATCGGCTGATCCAAATGATTTAACTGCATTAACACCTGGTCATTTCCTAATAGGAACGTCTTTAACTGCCATACCTGAACCAGACCTAAATTATAGTTCCTTCAATCACATTGACAGATGGCATGTGAGACAGTTTATTTTTCAGCACTTCTGGAAAAGATGGAGTCGAGAATACCTGTCTCAGCTTCAACAAAGACCTAAATGGCAAAAAAGTCAAAACAATTTAGAAGTCAATGACTTAGTCCTCATCAAAGAAGACAACCTTCCGCCTCTTAAATGGAGGTTAGGGAGAATAATTGCTGTTCATCCGGGCTCAGATCAAAGAGTCAGAGTTGCTAGTATTTAAAACTGGTCATGGTGTCATAAAACGACCAGTCGTGAAATTGTGTCCTCTTCCTATTCAGACTAAAAAACTATGAACTGCTTCGCATATAATATTTTGTATTATTTTTCTTATGTTTATCTTTTATTACAGACTAAGAAGTTTCAAAATGCTCCAACTGTTGAAATCCCCTGGGATTTCAACGAGGGCCAGGAGGATGTTTATGTGAGTATCGTTTGCTTCATTTTATTGTTGCAAACAGCGTAAATTCCTTTTGTTTTTCTTCCTTTAGTTTTGAACTTTATGTGTGGCAACAAGATAATTGATTGATAGAATTGTGTTTGTGACAGCCATGTAGAATGGCTCGCTTATTTTGTATCAATTATTTCGCATCGCTGACATATTATTTATAATTAGTGTAATGAAATAAAGTGTAGGAATACAGTCCATTTGTTGATTGATATAGTTTGTGAAATATTATTTAATAAAAATCATAGTGGAATGAAATTGGTTCAAAGATGACTTAGTTAAATTTCTTATTATTTTTTGACAATTTGAATTATCAACCTTTTATTTCGACAAGGCATATTGAATTTTTATTCTAATTTTATTCAATGAATAGCATATTTTTTTTAAAAAAGATCATTCAGCATCAATATTGTTGTTCATCACTATTGAGCAATGGGAGAAGAGAGAGACAGTCTTACAATGAATGAGAAACAATTTCTTCTGCTATTCCAGAAATCCAGCTTTAGTTTAGATTTTAAAATAGGAACATTTTGCAATATATTTTTGCAAAAATTCTAATTAAAACTAGCATAAATATGATATATCTTTAAAAATAATCAGATATTTATAATAAAAATCTGAAATTCACTACATTTACAAAAAAAAAAAAAAAAAAAAATACGCATTAACTTAGAAATCACCTTAAAATTCACAAAACTAACAAGGTAGTTTGTATTGTGACACAACTTCCCTATAAGATGACAGTAGAATGACAAAGCCATTAACTTTTCTTTGTAAGAAGGCTTCTTGAAAAATCTACCATGCCCTCACATGAACCGAACTCATGATCTTTCACAATTTGCCATACTAAATATGCTGACTATTACACAACAAGGACACACAGAAGGGATGCCTTTAAATCGTATCCTTTCCATCTGAAAGGCAACTGGAAGAAAAGGAGAGGTTAGACCCAGTCAGCCAATTCAAGTTTCAATGAATTATTATCCACCACATTTTAGTTGAGTTTCTACTAGAAAGGATGCCGACACTGAGTTTTTGAACAACAGACACTATGAAAAATCAGTTATGGCAATAACGAATCAAGTACCAGTATCCACTTAGCTACTATTGCATTGAATAAACAGATGGATCATATGAAAACAACATTTCTCAACCTTTCTTAACTGCAGAAGAGTAAAATTTGTGAAAAAAATTTCAAAGACCAATGGTTCGCACACCAACTTTTTTAAAGCACATGTGCACATATTTGGGAAAGTAAAGCTCCCTGCACAACTAAGTTCGATTTTCTTTTTTGCACAGTAGACAGGGCAGGATTTAAATATAAGCTACACAAGCTATAGCTTAAGGCCCCTACTATCTTGGGGGGGGAGGGCTCCCCAAAAATTAGGAAATAGTATTAAAATTTATCATAACAGACTTATAAAAGGCCCATATCTGAAATAGCTTAGGGCCTTATCGAGTCCAAATCTGGCTCTGAGTAGAATTATTGCAAGCCTTCTCTGTTGTCAGCAGTTTGTCCAATTAAAAGAAGGAAAAAATATGAGATGCGACAGATGTGAGTGCAGGTAACTTGCTTAAATTCTTCAATAAAAGCTGGATGAGGGGCATACACCAGTTTACATCTGGTACACGGCAGGTGCCCCTGTCCTCCATCACCTATCTCTCTCCAATTAACAATACCCCAGAATGTAAAGAAATACCATGTTGTCTTTAGCCTGCTCTCCTTTGTGTAAGTATTTAGTACATTCAGCTAATAATGGAAGACAAATGTTTGATTTCTAGTCGAGGCACGGTTGACTTTTCCTGCTTCCTAGTTAAAAAATCTAAAGGTCTGTATAATTATAATACAATGTTTTATAGAATATTGGCCACTATGGGGTCAGTCTTCGTCTGGCTTTTAAATGTACCAGGAAAATGCCGAAAGGGAATAAACACCAAACATTAAATTTAAAAACTGCACAGTTTTAAACTACAAAACAACTTCTTTTTCAATAAAAATGTATTATATATAAAAACATTACAATGAAATAAGCATTATCCCTTAATACAAACATTAATTATCTTAATAAATAAATTAACCAACTTCCTGCTGCAAAATCTTAAGAATTCAAATGGTATAAAGTTAAAAACTTTGTTTCCTAAAAAAAAAATCATGCAAAACTTTTCAGTATCTTAAAGAGAGTGAAATAAGCAATAAATAACATGACAGAAACACACACAAAAAAAAAAACATTTTGAAAATGAAAGTATAATTAATACTATTTTATCTGATATTTTCAACAGTCAGCAGTCCAGTATACAAAGCATTGAATGAAAAACTGTTGCCAAAACCACATTTTTAAAAGAATGACAATATTCAAAATGATGTGATTTCATTAAAAAAGATAAATTTTTTTTAAAAAATCTGATTCGAATTTTGAAAAAAAATCACTTCGAGGTGCACGGGCTCTTGTCTAGATGCACCTATGTACCAAATTTCGTAGTCCAGGGTCTATTACGCACAGCATGAGTGAAAGACACACAGGCGGACTCTTTCTTTTATTACAAGTAGAGATACCTTTAAAATATATAAAAATTTTAATCTACTGTATGTACTACTACTTGTTTCTATGAGTTACTGAAAAAAGGTGCAATTTGAGAACCTGGTGCATTAAAGACAAAGATTACAAGTAAAAATGTGGTATGTTGACTAAAAACGGAAATATTTTGACTTTTCATAAGATTACATTCAGCTACGTTAGTTCAATTTATAATTTTTGTAGCAAAATATATCACTCAATTTCCTACCTTCAACTGCTTTTTGCTTTTCTTTAGCTTCCTTTTTGCTAGAAGGTACTTGCTGTTCTTCTTTAGACCTTTTTTCTTCAGCAGCTTTACGTGCCATTTCTTCCTAAAAGTACGAATTTTAAGTTTTATTGTAATTTAAAAAAATTATTAATAAAAAATTGCAGTCTGCAAAACAGAACATTCTAATGGTTCAAGTGATTACCATTACAATTTTATAAAAAATTTAAGATATAAAAATTGTGATTAAAAACAAACTGTCTTTATCTTGCATAGCTACCAACTTAAAATATAAAACCTGAATGTCTCCTGGGCTTTAAACTGAACTTTTAAAAGCTCTTTATAATGAACCCCTTACAAATTAAACTTTGGATTATTAACATATGGAGTAAAGAACATTAGTAAATTCTAAATTTTAAATATTTATACCTTTTGGCTAATCTCATTCAATTTTGCAATTTTCTTAAAATTTAAAAATTATGAAACCCAAGCAGGAAAGAAAACCTTTTATTTACCAAACACTCAATAAAAATCTTATTTTTAACTGATATACATGTAATCAAATTTAATAGTGTACAATTTAATGATGTGAAGTAAAATTAAATACTAATATTTACTTAATTAAATGTTAATTTGTGTTCATGAAATGCTTTATAAATCTCAACACTAAATGAAAAACAAAAAACCAGATCAAGTAAAAATTACTCTGGAAAATCATTAAAAAAAAGTGCAATTCATATAACTTTAGACGATGTCGCTGTCTCAATTTTTTTTTTTTTTTTTAAGAATTAATCTTCAAAATTCATTTAATGCTTCCATTTCTTCCTCCACACTCAGTAATAAAAAAACTTTTCTAAAACTGAATGTGAGAAAGATACAATTCAAAAAAATAATTGGAAATTTACTAGAGATTAAGAAATCAGACAAAAAGATTGAAAGCCTGCTCTGGATCTAAATATGTAGATTTCAGTTTAACATATGGTTCGATTTATTGATTTATTTTATTATGGCATAGCAATCGAAGAACAACTATGGGAAGGGATGCCTTCATGGCAGACTTTCTAAGGAAACTGGCTGGTATACAAGTTACACATGACGAAAATGTCAAAACCGCCAATGTAGCCACTATTCACTGAGATTTGAACACTGGACCAAACTACCAGTTTTCAGCAACTTAATAGTTCAGCTTCTGGTAGACGTTTAACATCTGAAACAATTGTACGCTAAACAGTTACACAACAAGCCTATTAGCTTGTGCAGAAATTCCCAGAATTTAAAGAAAATGAACATAGAATCTTAAATTTAAAATGAATTCAAAATGCCTCAAATGACAGATAAAACATCTGCTATACCATATACCACTATTTTAAAAATGAATGCCAAATTTAAAATTTTGCACTTAAAAATATGTTGTTGACATCACACTGACTTCCTCATATGGCTTACTAAATTATACACATTTTTTTGCTGCACTTCACTTAAATGTATTTTCTCAAATTGTATTCACTTAAATGTATTTTCTCATTAATAAATAACCGAACTCAGCTGAAAATGACATCAAAAATCGGAAATTTTGAAATTAAATATCCCAGCCAATTCTACTTATGTGAGTCAAACCTTTAATAATTTTATTTCTTCATAATGAGTATAAAACTTTCCCAAATATAAGTATAGGAACCTTGAAACCACGTTATAAGTTAGATTTTGTTATTTGTTCAATTTTTTTTTTTTTTTTTTTTTTTTAATTTGACATCGCCAAATTAATTTTTGTCATTTAAAATATTTTGCAACTGTACATACATGACCAACGACTGCAAAAATAAAGGCTGGGTAAGGGAGTGGCTGTATCTACAGGTGACAGGTGACAGCAGGACAGGGCACCCGGACGGCTTTCTATAACTACTCGGGTATTACCGGCTGTATCTACAGTGACAAACATACATATTATATATATATTGTTACAAAATGTCCAAGCACGGTAAGATAGCTTCCCCGCAAAGCAGTTTTAGGGTGGCCATAAAATGGCAAGGGAAGACAGGGTTGCCACATTTGGCAATAAATCATCCATTTGGTGACATTTGGGGTCAAAATTGGCAATATGCCATGGACGGATGGAGAACATTCTGAAACGAATTCTTACCAGTTTAGCCCAGAATGTTCTCGAACACAAGCCGAAAGCTATATAAACCTTGTGGGTTCGCAGTCAGTATGTGTATGCCTGCTCTAGAGTGCAAGATAGTGTGTCTCATCTACTTAGTCCGTGCAGAAACGATCACGTTGACAGCCGACCGATGAGTGCCGAGTGGTCGTCGAGTACATCAAAAGAGTCTCTTATTGTATTGCTTTTAGTGCATCGTCGAGACAGTGTGTTGAGCTTCGGGAATAACTGAACCAAAGAGTCGGGAGCTGTGCTCTGTGTGTCGTCGAGTGCATCACGAGTTGTAGTGTGGAGAGTCTTGAGAGTATGTAGAGTTCTGAGAACGACCGAGCAGAGTCGGGAGCTGTACTCTGGTGCTCTGCAGTGAAGCTATCTTCATCATGATAGGCCCAAAGGCTGTGCCGCTAATTGTTCCAGCACGTTTATAGTAGATCTTCGACGACTGTAAAAAGTTACTTTGGAGCTGTCCTGATTAATATTGGCTAAATAAAGTGTGTTTCGATATTCCATCAAGTATTGTCGTCGTTACTCACTCCAAATCCACATAAACCCTTTACAAACGTGAAGGAAGAAAATAACGTAACAACTGGTGTCAGGAAAAGAATGTAACAATTGGTGTCAGAAGTGGGATTTGAGGGCGAATGCCAGTGACAAGAGTAACGGAAAAACTAGTAACACAGCTTGTGACTGCCTTTGCTGAATTACAAGAAAAGATGGAAGCCGGATATGATGAGATAATAGCTGGACATAAGAGATGACAGATGAGATCAAAGCCGGAATGGAAGAGAAGAAAGTCCGGCGAGAAGAAATAAAATGTCAAAGGTGCAAGATCAACTCCAATACGTGAAAGTAGAGTTTACAGAAGATATTGGAGGCATAAAAGACGATGTGGAAATGAGAGAAGTGGCAGTTGAAGAATCAAAGAATGAAGAAATGAAGGAAGTAGCTAATGAACTGTCTGAGAAAGATCCAGAAATAAAGGATGAAATATCTAACAAGATTAAAGACAAAGATTGAAAAGATGGAAGAAATGAAAGACAGGAAAGAAGTTTTTTGATTCTCATGTGTATGAAGGAGAGATAGAAGAAAGTTAAAATGTGACTGTCAAGATCATAGAAAGTTACAAAGTCACAGTTAGCAAGTGTTGAACCATCTGAAATTCATGTGACGCTCAAGTGGAAAAAGCTGATGTACAGCTTACGCAGAGTGCTCCAGTATTGCAAGAAAATTCACCCACTTCGCAAACTATATGTGCATCTCATAGTGCAGATTGTGCAGACCAGGACTTGATTCTAAACCTGGGTACTTCTGCTAGTAAAGGATCAGATTCTTTTCGTGATTCTGGTGCAAACAGCAGAACTGTCTTTCAGGAAATAGAAGTAAATTAGATGTACCATCTGCTAAAAATACCGAGGTGAACTATACGCATGCTGCGAATGATCTACAGAGTAGTGAACGAATTGTTTTAGATTTCCCACTGGATGAAAAGTCTGAAAGGAATGAATCTTCAGACTGATATGGAAAACAGAAATGTGTCTGAGAACTGCAGTGGAAACGTATTTGACCCAGGCATAACTTAATGAAAAGACAGACTGAAATTCATTCTGAACTTTAATTTGTATAATTTAAAATTGTGATGTGTTTAATTTGTGTATATAACTTGAACATATTGTAAATATTTGTTTTTTTTTTTAATTGTGATGTGCTTAACTTGTGTACATAACTTGTACTTAGTGCAAATATTTTCTTCTTTAGTTATGCAATAAAATGTTTTGATTGTATCGAATTTGGCTTCTGAACAAGGGTTGTACTGCCCGCGATGTGCAGTACTTGGGAAGGGACAATGTTACGAAATGTTCAGGCGCGGTAAGATAGCTTCCCCGCAAAGCAATTTTGAGTTTGCCATAAAACGGCAAGACAGGGTTGCCACATTTGGCGAGAAATTGTCCTTTTGGCGGCATTTGGTGTCAAAATTGGCAATATGCCATGAACGGATGGAGAACCTTCTGGAACGAATTCTTACCGGTTTAGCCCATTATATTCTCGAACACAAGCCAAAAGCTGTATACACCTTGCGGTCCGCAATCAGTGTGTGTGTGTCTCATCTAGTTAGTCCGTGCGGAGATGATCGAATTGACAGCCAGCCAGCGAATGCCGAGGGTATCGAAAGAGTCTCTTAGTGTATCGCGGTTAGTGCATTGTCGACAGAATGTGTTGAGCTCCGGCAACAACTGAACAAAAGAGTCGGGAGCTGTGCTCTGTGTGTAGTCGAGAGTACGTGGAGTTCAGAGAATGACCAAGCAGAGCCAGGAACTGTACTCTGGTGCTTTGCAGTGAAGTTATCTTCAACGTGATAGCCTGAATGCTGTGTCGTGGATTGTTCCAGTGTGTTTATAGTAGATCTTCGACGACTGTAAAAAGTGACTTTGGAGCTGTCCTGATTAATATTGGCTAAATAAAGTGAGTTTCGATATTCCATCAAGTGTTGTCTTCGTTATTCACTCCAAATCCACACGAACCCCGTACGAATGTGAAGGAAGAAAATAACGTAACAACTGGAGTCGAAAAAACGTAACAATATATATATGTTTGGTGCTGCCAATTGCAATAAAAAGGGAGGTGCATAACTAGATGTTACAGAAGTATCATACATAAAATTTCAATTTTCGATGGCTAATCATTTTTAGTTAATTGAGATACATACATACGTACAGATTTCAAAGGGGGGGTAAATCCCTTTTCAATTTATTTTGCAATCTGCTTTGGGAAAAAAATTTTTTTATTTTGTCCAGTCCTTTTTGCAGGCTGTACAAGCGTTATTTCAAAAACTGTTCAAATACATTCAGAAACAGTCAAAATGGATATTTCCATGGAAAAATGCTAAACAAATTTTTTTGTGATTACACTATTTCCTTAACTTTGTACAAGGAAATTAAAAGGAAAAGGCTTAACTATTCACGAAACAGCTGTGCATTTATTTCACTAGATTGCCTGCACATAATTACTAAGAAGTTACTAGTACCTAATAAACATAAGTGAAATATTTATCTATGCTTCAAAAGAATTCAAAGATGTTCAATCTTGCGAAACTGGTTTTTATACACTTAAGTGCACGGTTAATACATATGATTATAATACTTAATTATTTCAGCGAAATGAATGCTAAAATATTATTTAAGTACTTGAAATATTTTCAACAATAATATAAAGATGCTATTTCAGGGCTGCAAAAAATAAACTAAATTGAGTGCTATCAGGGCTGTATAAAATACACTAAGAAAATTTATGCAACAAAAATAGCATACATTAATCAAAGTTATGCATAGCAGCAACATTACAGATTTATACAAAAAAGCTTCTATTTCTCAAGTTTTCTGAAGCTGCTTATAGAAATTAAATTATTAAAGAAATTAAACAGTTCTTGTTTATAAGTCTTCAGAGAGACTTTACTTGCAAAGCTATTTAAACAAAGCGAAACATCACATTAAATGTTGTTTGTTAAAATTATAGTAACCTGAGAATCCATTATTACACTGTATTGATTGGAAGAGATTTTTAAAATCATGTTAAGGTTGTAAAGTCATTAGGTTTATTTGGAGGCAGACGAGATGAAAAATATGCAACCGCCTTCACCGGGAATCGAACCACGGACCTCTGGAACACCGGCCCAGCATGCAGAACCACTACACCACGAAGGACACTAGGAAAGTGGGAGAAATACCTTATATACTCCCCTTTTTAAAGGGCGACTAGGGTTTTAGGGGAAATCCTGGGTGCGGAGAATCATCATCCACAACCCTTTTTAGTTCGGGCACTACTTGTAGAGTCATTAGGTTTTTTTTTTTAGGCAGAAAAGATGAAAAATAGCAAATGCCTTCGCCGGGAATTGAACCACGGACCTTTAGAATACCGGCATCGTGCAGAACCACTACACCAGAAGGATGCTAGGAAAGTGGGAGAAATACCTTATAAGGTGAACATGCACACATATTTAAAGAACTCTCCCTAATACAACCACCTACTGCCGCAGCCAAATTTAATCTTCTGTGGACATAGTTGCTTTAGAGCAGTATGTTCAGCATTGATATTCATTTAGCATCTTTCAAGAAATATTGGTCACTTTCAAAGATTCTTAGGAACACTCTTCATTTTAGGTATTTGACTTTTGAACACAACTCTTTAAAATACATATTCTTCCCATAATTCAAATACACTTGTGCCAAAAAAAAAAAAAAAAAAAAAAAAAAGCAACAAAAGCTAAAAGAAAAGATACAAATGTAAAGAGGGGAATAATAACATACAATTTACATATAAGACAGAGGTTGGATCCCTTAATACAAACAGGGAACCAAAATTAGCATAAAACCCAATCCCACAGGCACACCACAACGTCTTAAAAAGGGGCATGCTGGACATATGCGTCAGTTGAAAAGCAGACATAGCTTCATTTAGTTGAAAATAGCCTAAGCAGAGAGCATGAGCTGACGACACCACACGTTGGAGGGCTGCTGGGATGTTGCACAACAATCAGTTGTGAGAGAGCTGAATGTGCATCGTAGTATTATTAATAGACTGCAGAATCGTTACCAAAGGGATCAAAACCTCTGTAAAAGATGTGAATCTGGACACCACAAGATGACTGCAACAGCAGACAATCGCTTTTTGCTACTATTTGGAAAACGTCGTATATCGCTAACAACACGAAAGCTGGTATCGCATCTCTCTGCTGTTGCAGTATGCTGAATAACCTAGTAAATTGTGTTGCCTCGACTGCATAAAGGTGTCTGGGCACCCAACAACCTGTGATTTGTGTTCCTTTGTTTCCATTGCATGTCACAGCACAGTTAAATTGGACCTGTAAACATCACAGTTGGACACTAGAGTGGTGGGGCTACTTACCCTTTATGGACAAGTTTCGAATATCCAGAATAATTACTGAAGGGCAATGATATAGCAATAACCAGAGACACAATATTGGATGCCAAACATCATTGAAAGTGACTATTATGAAGGAAGAGGCTTACTTATATGGGCTGGGATAAAAATGAATGGACACACCGACCTTAATGTGATTCCTGGTGTTCTGTCACAGTCGTCTGATATTGTAACAACATTCTACAACCTCTTGTGTGTCCTTTTACTGCTGCAATGGGTAGAGACACATTTATGGATGATAACACCTGATCACATAGAGCTCGAGTGGTGTGCAGAGTTGTATGGAGAGTGAAAGTATTCCACATCTGCCACAGCCTGCTAGATCACCAGACAATCATACATATACAGCATATATGGGACATACTTGAGACTTCTACGGATAGCAAGTTGCAGTGTGCTACCAGGCATCCTCTACAAGCTCTGATATGTATTATTATAGGAATGGGTACTACTGCCATAACAAGTGATCAACAACATAATAGACAGCTTGCCTCGCCATTGTCAAGCATGCATTTCAGCTACACAATAGCATACCCATTATTAGCATGATGTTTCTATGGCAATTCTTCTCACCCATTAGTCTTTCATGATATGATGATCATAATACATGTACTTTTGTATGTCTCTGCTTAACTGTTTGCTTTGTGGTCTAGTAATGTCACACCAACCTCTTAGATCAATTTTACATATATCCATTTAACAGTTTTTTGTTTTATTCTGCATTTTGCTTTTGTTACTTATTTTTTTAACAGGACTGTAAATAAATGCTAAATATTTATGTAATTAACAATAAGTACATACTTCTAATTTCTTTTGAGCTTGCACTTTAGAAATTCTAGCCGACGTCCTCTTGGGAGCTAATTCAATGAAACGTTTCCTCAGTAGACGATCCTAACAGAAAGCAAGATGTGTTTTACTCTGAACATTCTACTCTAATAAATATAGAATATTCATTTACTCAATTAAAGACATAATATGACTAATAGTATGTAAATTATGCAATGATGATATTGCTGTAACTGTTTCCCACAGTTACCATGTCTACACAATGTAAAACAACTTTACCAATAAAAAGACATTTTTATTTAGTATGTTGAACAACCAAACAAAAATTTAACAAAATGAAAATACATAAAAATTTACAGAATTTTTAATTTATTAATTACTACTAAAGTAAAAAATTATTTTATATATATATCTATAAATTGAGAGAAACATAAAACACCAAATACAGTTAAAACAACTAAAGAAACAATTTTTACAATTAAAATTAGAGTTTCCACACAAAAACAAGCAATTTGGCCAGCGGGAAGACAGATTTTTCAATGCACAAAACTCAGTTAACTTTTTGTTCCACTGCGTAAAAAGGCACTAAAGTTCATGCACTAAATGACTTAATTCACTATTCTTCTACGAGTTTTAAAAGTAAACAAATGGCTCCTCAGGCTTAATGCCACTTAAACTTTTAAACTGTTGATAACTCTACAGCTATCGCATGCAGATTAACAAAAGGCATAAAAACATTAGCCAGGACATAAGAGCAACAAAATTCAATCACTTTTAAAGGTAAAAATGCACAATTTACTGATATACAAGAACAAAAAAACTGTTTGTTGTGGCAGACTGCAACAAGAAAGGGAGGTGCACAACTAGATATTATAGACGTCCCATATATAAAATTTCAACATTCTATGGCTATTCATTTATGAGTTACACAAGATATGTACATGTATACAGACGTTACAAAAAAATCTCTTTTGAATACATTTTAGAATCCGTTTTGGAAGGAAAAAAAAATGTCCTTTATTCTGTCCGTACGTATAAATGTCACACCAAAACATCATTCAAATGGATTCACGAGCAGCCAAAACAAATATTTTTACTGAAATACGATAACCAAAATTTTTCGAGATTATAATACTTCTTTCCCTTTGTACAAGAAAGTAAAAAAAAAAAAAAAAAAAAAAAAAGAAGAATCTGCATGTGTAGTACAGAATCACATTCTTCAGATTATAAATGCAGAAAATAAAATTGATAGACACAACACAGATTATCAAAATTTCGGTGAACAGGAATTTCCCTGAAGGTGACTTACTCTCAGTTATGAGCAGCCCTTGGCCACTTATACAGTTACACACCGATTCATCCAAAGAGGATATGTCTAGCTTGATGGAAATATTTATTCAAGAATAAATACTGCACAACCTTCCAGTTTTGCGTAAAATCAGGAAGTTAGAAATGAAAAATAATAACGAAACCATAATTTCAGTAAGCTACTACAATATTTATGATGTTAAAATGTAATTTATCAATATGACAATTAGTGTTTATTCTTTTTTATATTTGTTACAATTAATCAAGATAAATAAAGAGTATATAAAAGATTTTATTTGTCATTATTTGAGAAATGTTTTAGAAAACCTTTCCTGAAGAATTATGATTATGTAGACGCTAAAACACAAAGACTTTTGGGCTGAAATACTGAAAATTTTACTAGGGCTGTAAAAAATTGTCAAAATGTATATTTTACAATTATTTAAAAAGTTTTTTTTATCAAAATTTTATGATTTTTATTTATAAACTGTAAAATGGACTGTCTAGTATGAAATGTATTGCCTTAACTGCTTTTTTACTCGAAAAATAGTTACTGTATGTTAATATAGTACAAAGTCCGTAATCCGGACGTATGTTATCCGGACCTCAAAGCCACAAACTTACGCATGCGCGTTTAATGCGCGCATCTGCTATGCATACGCATAAAGCGTTTACCCTCACCTTTCCGATAGTGAAGAAAGTAACAGAGAGGTTATTGAAAACGAAAAAATTTTGATTTATAAGTTAGTCGGTATTTATTATTATTATTCGATTGATAAGTTAATCTAGACACAGCAATTACAGAACTTGAACAGTGGAACTTTGTAACTGAACAAGAAATTATGTCTGTTTATAGATTTAAAGAGAAAGTATTAGCACAAAAAATGAAGCAAACAACTTGCATTGATAGAAATGTTTAATAAAGTAAACAAATAAATATTAAGCTTTTTTTTTTTTGTAAATTTTGATACCCTTTAAATCATAATTGCTCTTTATTTCATAAATTATGGTTTCATATTTTTAATTGTATAATTTCTGCATGCCATCTTACCAGATTTAAATTGATGATCTATAATCCGGAAAAACCCCTAATCCGGAATCGCCGAAGTCCCGATGAGTCCAGATTACGGACTTTGTACTGTATACTTTTGCCAACCTCTGAAGTTACTATATGTCATTTTCTTCCTGATGTAGATTTTCTAATTCAGAAGTCAAACAACAAAAATCAGCGTTAATTTATAAAATTTTCACAGGACTAGTTTCGATGGTTTTTGGTTAAACAGCATATCATCCCAATTAAAGGGAATATTAATTTAGAAGCAAAACAACAAAAATCAGCGTTATATTTGCAAATTTTCACAGGGCTAGTTTCGATGGTTTTACCAAACCATCATCCTCAGCTGCCAAAGAGTAAATGGTATAAAAGCCATTTGCTATTTGGCAGATGAGAATGATGGTTCGGTAAAACCATTGAAATTATTTAGCTTCTAAATTAATGTTTGCTCGGCGTGTTATTTTTACCTAAATTAAGAGAATGTTAGTTTATTAAACTGATCCAGATTTTTTCTAGAGCTCCTCCTCCTTTTTAAAGCTAAAAGTAAATCTATGAATTGAATGATGTCCCTGTTACCACAGCCTGTCGCTTTAAAATTGGTACTTCAAGGCCACTGCCACCCTTTCTCCCTGTTTGCGATCAAAACATGTATTGTCATCACCATTCAGCATTTATTTTCTCCACATCATTTAAGTAGTAGTTCAAATCTGCCTTTATTTGGCCACTTCATGAAGCTTCAAGGTACTCAACATTTTCCTGCAGCTATTGTTCCCATGGCTATGAATCAAATAAAGTAGTGGAAAACAAACTTGAAGTTCCTGTTTTAAAATAACAATGCAATAAATAATCAAGTACAATTTTAAATAATAGTACTTCTAATTTCACCCTCCAAAAAGGAAACAAAATATTTAATAAAATGATATATTGATATGATTATACATTAAACAATCATTGTGCAATTGCATTTAAATGTTTACATACTTTTTCTGAAACTACTCCAGGTAGCATAAGAAGATATGTCTCCTTTATTTCTTTTGCCAGCTCTTTATCTGCAGAATTTTTGCTTCTAGCCAGTTTTTTCACCAGTACTTCCCAATCACTTGAAGTATGACAAGCAATGGACCATGATTTTTCATCATTTTTTTCAGTCTTTTTGTTCTTTTGTTTTGCATTATTTGTTTGATCCCTAAAAAATATTTTTCGAATACTGTATGCAAACAGATTGTATCCAACATAGTTAAAGTTCTTGCAAATGGAAATTAGCACAATTCTTCATCTACTCAATAGCTTGAAACAGATAAATGAATATTTATGAAAAAAGAAGAAATGGAAATATCATGAACCCTCTTCCAAAACCTGTTCTAAAACTATCCACTGTTCCAGATGATTCTGATTTCCTGCAGAGGTGATCATTTTAGAAAGGCAATATTAATGCTTGCTCGTACTGCCAGAAATATTCCTTATTTCTAGAGGTGGTTTTCTTAAGAAGGGGGAAGGAGTTGTCACAAGAGGGATCAATGTATTTCCAACTCTACAGCACAATTACATGGATAGATAACTCGATAACCAATTATTTTGAAAAAAAAATATCATTTAAAACTAATTAGCACAACATGTTCTAATTTTCTGTCAAAAAGACAATGATATGAAACATTTATCTGGGAATCAAGTTTGATACATAAGTTAGAATTTTTTTAAAGCAGTATTTTTAATCATTTTTATCAAATAGTTCTATTTTTACTAACTATTGGTATTTTAATGAGCTTCCAAAAACATGTTACTACAGTTAAAATATTGCTTAACTAAACTTCAATTAAATCAAATACAGTTTATGGCAGGAAAATAATGCTAAATAGTAGATCACCTCCCTTCCCTAAAGTCTCTCCCAATAATTACACATAAAGGCATTTTTAGAATGCATAGAACTGGTCCCAGTGCACTGAAGGCAAAAAATAAGCAAATAAAAAGTTCAAATTCTCCAGCATATAGCTTTAAAACATCTACATCCATTAATGTCAATTAAAATTCTGCTAAAGAACTTCCCTGAAAAGGAATGAAGTATCAAAATGGAAATCTGGAAATTTTTCTATCAACTGAACACAATACAGATTTTATAACATTTTAGAAGAGGATTTCTAAAATTAAAACTGCTATTTATTTGTCAGCTTAATGAGGCTTATCTTTTCTTTTTAATAACCAGAGTTATTTTTGTAAACAAACATGCCTTTAAACTAAGGGATTGCTAATTTTTGTTATATAATTTTCCATTTTCATTCATCAATCATTAGTTTAATAGTCCAAAACAACAATCTTAATCAAAATTTTAAAAAAATGTAAAGCTTGTGTAAAATGTAAAATTCTGAAGTTTGTATATTTTACAAAATATGTTCAACAATATTTAGCTGGTACAAAGTGTGTACATTTTACAAAACATAATCAACAATAACAGTATTAATAACATAGCAATTCACTTTTATGAAAATCAGCCTTAAGCCCCATTCACAAGAGCAGATTAGAGCCATGGCGAAAACCATTGAGAAATTTAATTTCATTCATGCTTCATTTTTCTCTTTTATAGTTCCATCTAAAGAAAATACTGCAACATCTTCGAACGAACACCATTCACATGCCGGACAAGCATCAACTGCCTCTCGGAATTGGAGGTAGAATTTGATACCTCTCTGAAGCAGCACAAACAGGAAGATTTCCCCATTTCCATTGTACGATTGCGCAGTTAATTAACCACTTGCGCTAAAAAGACGTGCCACGCACGTCAAGATGCTTTTGTCTCAAACCGCGAGCGACATGAACACCACGTCAATAGGCATTTATCACAAAAATGAAAATAACGTAGTGCACACGTCGCCTAACAACGAGATTGTTTATTTCTCGAGTTACAGCTCAGGATTGCACTCGCAGACACGGAGCCGCGTAAATGAGGCACTTTACCGCTTGTTATATTGTAGTGCACGGCACCGCAATCATGAAGTTTAGTCATAGCGCAAGTGGTTAATTATTACAGTCAAGAGTCGTTAATTCGGACACCCATAATCTGGACCTCAAAACTAAAAACTTTCTGCGCATGCGCTGCGTTGGCACATGCGCACAGGCATTTTATGCACGCACGTAAGACCTGGACGACTGCGCATACGCGTGCGTGCAGGTGCAGAATACATTTTCGCCTTCGCGTTTAATGTATAACGGACGGTGTAAGCTAAAATGATCTAATTATCTATTTCAGTTAATGTTAATGACTGCGTTGTTTCTTAATTTTCAAATTGGATCCCGCTTATTACTTTTTGCAGACTGTTAGAGCAATTTTATAAAAGTAAACTTGAACTTTCGATTATGTCAAATAGAATTTCCGATGCTGGAATTTCCAAAGGATCTACAAAATGAAAGTATGTTTCCATGTCCATCAAACAAAAAGTGGAATTGCTGCAAAAATTGGATAAAGGCATACCTGTCTCAAAGTTATGCAAGGAATATAACATTGGAAAGTCAACTGTATATGACGTAAGCAAAAAGAAAAAGGAACTTTTTGATTTTTTTGTGGATTCCGACACCCCACTTGCAATGAGTAACAGAAAAAGGGTTCGTTATGCTAAAAGTGACGATCATGACAGAGTGATGGTTGAATGGGTCAGACAGCGTCGCAGCGAGAGCTTGCCATTGACGGGTCCAATGGTAATGGCTCAAGCCAAAATATTTCATGAAAAAATGAACTTAAACGGAGAGTGCACATATTCGACATGTCGGTTAACAAAATTTAAAAATCGCCATGGTATAAGACAATTAAAAATTTCTGGTGAAAAATCTTCAGCTGATACTGAAGCTGCTGAACAATTTGCAGATGAATTCATCGAATTCATTACTAGTGAACAATTATGTGCAGAACAAATTAACAATGCTGATGAAACTGGTCTTTTCTGGCAATATGTACCGCGAAATACCTTGGCAACCTCTACAGAAAAGGCTCCAACTGGTGTCAAAGATTCCAAAGCGAGACTAACAATTTTAGCGTGCGCAAATGCTGCAGGAACGCACAAGTGCAAACTTTTCGTAATCGGAAAACATGCACGACATTGACCGTTTAAAAGAGTAACGATTTTCCCTGTTATATATCGCGCAAATAAAAGAGCATGTATGACACAAGTGTTGATGAATGATTGGTTTGAAAATCATTTTATACCCGAGGCTCGGCGACATTTGAATTCAGTTGGTTTACCTGATGACTCAAAAATAGTTCTGATTGTTGATAACTGTTCGGTGCATACTTCACTTAAAGTTTTAGTGAAAGATAATGTATCCATGTTATTCTTCCCTCCAAATTGTACGTCTATCATTCAGCCTAAGGATATGGGAATAGTGCACGCGCTGAAATGCAAATATAAAACAGCATTTTTAAAATCTATGTTAAATTTCTTGAACAGTGGCAAGACTATTCAAGAATTTTTGAAATTTTTTAGCATAAAATCTGCCGTGTGGAGCATCGCAAGATCGTGGGAGGATGTGTCTTCAAGTACGTTAAAAAATGCTTGGCATAATTTATGGCCATCTACCATATTTCATGGTGAGGAGGAGGAAAACGATAGCGGCGAATTTGAAGGTTTTCGGACATCACAAACTAAAGGTGAATCATTTATTACCGCTTCTCCACATTTCTTTACAAAATTGGATTTTGTAAAGAAATGTGGAGAAGCAGTAATAAATGAAGATGATATAAGAGAAGTTTTTCATTGCGACGACAATGCACCAATCATCAATCAATTAGCGGACAGCGAAATATGTAGTATGGTTCTAGATCCAGAAAATATCGCTTCCGATAGTGAAGAAAGTGACACAGACGTTACCGAAAATGAAACAATTTCGATTGACAAATTAGTCGATATTCTTTGACACCGCAATTATAGGACTTGAACAGCAGAAAATTTGTAACTGAACAAGAAATTATGTCTGTTTATAGAATTAAAGAGAAAGTATTATCACATAAAACGAAACAACTTAAACAACTTACATTGATAGAAATGTTTAATAAAGTAAACAAATAAATATTAAGCTTTTTTTTTTTTTTTTGTAAATTTTGTTACCCTTTAGATCATAATTGTTCTTTATTTCATAAATTATGGTTTCATATTTTTAATTTTAGAATTTCTGCATGCCATCTTACGAGATTTAAACTGATGATCTATAATCCGGAAAAATCGATAATCCGGAATCGCCGAAGTCCCGACGAGTCCGGATTAATGACTTTTGACTGTATATAACATGGCTGATATGCAACTGACTGCTCACTGGACTGTCAGCAAAGCAATCACGTTAAATAGAGAGAGAGAGAGGCAATCGCGTTAAATAGAGATAGAGCAATTGCGTTATCAATCTGCCATAGCATCCAAAAAAAAAAAAAATTAGGTGGAACAGTTACTGAAATTTATAAACAAATACAAAAAAGATTATCTGATACTGGGTATTCCAGGAACACAATTCACATAAAAACATTACGGCGCTCAGATACGGCGCTAAAAAAATATACAATAAAGTTACGGCGCTCAGATGCGAATATCGGCTTCAGTGCGACAAATTAAAACCATCTGGTGCCGATGGTAAAATTACTTTTAGATTTTATGACCAACTGAATAGAATTTTAGGTTCTAGAGATCCCTTGAATCCTGGCCCAGTAACAAAAACCGAGATTCTTGGGTTAAAAGAGTCAAATGTTTGCTTTTATTAATTACGCTATGCTAGAAAACATTACATCACTTTTAAATACATTGTTTCAGAGAAGTGCTCGGACTTATCCTTCTCTAAAAACAAAGAGAAAAATTTTAATTTCCCAAATTTGAAATATCCAACATGATTTTCAAACCAGATGTTTGCTTACTTTTTTCCTCACACTGCATATTTTTCTGAGATAAGAAATACTTAATTTAAGTACAAATATTGTCTCTTTTGAACATAGGAATCATGGTATAAAATTACTGGAACATTTGTTACTCCATCACCAAAAAGTGAAAACCTGTTTCTTTTGCTTGATCATCTTGATTAAAAATACATTTAATTGTTTTGGTCATGTATTTTGTAGTGCTAATGTACATGGCATTTTTGTAGTGTTAATGAATTTGCCTTCATTTTCTGATTATTTGTAGCCTAATTTTTCTTCACTGATATTGCATTCCTAATTTCATT